AACCACCCACAATGCCTGGAAGTAACTGTCAGAGCTCAGCCTGCATCCTGGAGTAATGTCATATTTTGTTGTTGTTGTTAATCCTCACTGGAGGATATTTTTTCATTGATTTTTAGATAGAATGAAAGGGAGGCAGGGAGAGAGAAACAACAATGTGAAAGAGAAACATTGATTGATTGCCTCCTACACAACCCCAACCAGGGCCAGGGATGGAATCTGCTAGCCAGGTACGTGCCCTTGACCAAGAATTGAACCTCCAACCCTTTGGTCCGGAGGCCGACACTCTAACCGCTGAGCAAAACTGGCCAGGGCATAACGTCACATTTCGAAGGGCAGTTTTTATTGTTGTTGTTGTTGTTGTTGTTTTGGTTTTTTATCCTCATCCGAGGACATTTTTCAATTTTTTGTTCAGATAGAGTGGGGGGAGAGAGAGAAAGAGTGAGAGAGAGAGAAACATCGACGTGAAAGGAATACATCGAATGGCTGCCTCCTGTACGGCCCTGACCCAACCAGGGCTGGGGACAAACTACAACCGAGGTAAGTGCCCTTAGGGGGAACCAAACCAGGGTCTCTCGGGACCGCAGGCCAATGCTCTAACCACTGAGAAAACTGGCCCAGGCTCAAAGGGCAGTTTTTATAATACCTAATGAAATGCAATATTAGTGGGAAACCAGGGATCCAAACCAAGTTCTCCTCTTGTAACCTTCAAAACAAAAAATCACTGTGAGTTATTTTCAGACATCCAGCCCCTGCCTGAACTTTGCCTGTAAACTTGTAATTTTTCAAGGAAAGTTACTTTACTGTGACAGTTCTTTCTCTTCCTGAGCCAAAGGTGTCTGATGAATACTCACCAATCCTAGTCCTACACTCTGTAGGCACCAAAACAGTCTAATACCTTTTCACACAACAGACCTTCAAATATTTGAGAACCACCACGAGTCCCTCCCATCTTCCCTCAGCCATTTTTCCCAAATGAAATATTCTGAAGTCCCTACACTCTCCTGTCACTTTCTGATGGGCAAGTGAAGTATATCAACCACAGGAAACTCCGAATTCTAGGAGTGTTCTAACCACAGCAGCAGAGCCACAGGACTACCCATTTCCCCATTCTGGGTACTGCACTTATATTTAGAAAGCTGAATACCACATCAACTGATCTGATGATATTGATTTTTCCTACTGTGTTCCTGCTCAGTCATCCCATGCCTGAGTAGATGCATATACTTTATTTTCTAAGAAATATATTAGTTTGCAGAGGAGAGACAAAAATGAATCAGACCTGGTCCCTGCCTTCCTTCCCTGATCTCTATGTTATGGAGGACACCCAATTCAAAACCAGATCATTAGAGTCCAGTGAGAAACACCCTGAGAGAGGTAAACACAGACTTTTTGGCCCATCTGAGAAACTGCTGTATCACACCTTCTTCCTCTTGGTAGCCACCACCAAGAAAACACTGGGCACTCAAATGTTCACTAAATGTATGTATGAATAAATAACTGTTATTAGAGCAACATGAATCATGGACTCAATCAACAAATATTTCTGAACGTCTACTAAGAACACTGAAGAGGGGAAAACCAAGTAACAGTGGCAAAGGGTATTTTTCTCCCCACTTACCCTTTCTCTCTTTCCTGGAAGGAGGCCCTTGTAAATCAGACTGTGTTGACACAATGTTCTTGATATGGGCTCTAAGTAGTTGTCAATATTAACAAGAGAAAGTTGTCTTAGGGGTGTTTGATATTGTTAAACAGAAAACAACTTTAAGTTCCATGGCTGAAAATCTTATTTATTTATTTATTTTTTATATTTTTGTTTCATTGATTTTAGAGAGAGAGGGAGAGAGAGATCGAAACTGTTAGCTCTTAACTTCCATATCACTGCCCTAAGCCTCTCAATTCCAGGAAACCAAAACCCATCACTCCAGTCAGGCAGGATGGAACCACCCTAACCCACCCAAAACTGCAAATGGTCACTCGGCAAGAAAAACAAGTTTCGGGAGACCCCAGCCCCTGACCAATCAAAAATTCGGGAGACCCCAGGCCCAACCAATTAAAGATGACCACATCTCCTTGGCTAAACAACCCCCCCCCCCCCCAGCCCTGAGTTTAAAAATCCCTAGTCTGTACAAGCCGGTTGCTGCTCTCTCTTTAGAGGTAGTCCGGTAGGCTAATTCCCAATAAACCTGCACTTCTGGAGTCCCTGCACTGCCTCGTTCTTACAGAAACATCGATGAGAAAGAACATCAATTGGCTGCCTCCTGCATGCCCCCCAATGGGGATCGGGCCCACAACCTGGGCATATGCCCTGACCGGGAATCGAACTGGTGACTTCTTGGTGCATGGGTTGATGCTTAACCACTGAGCCGCACAGGCTGGGCAAAAGTCTTTTTTAAAGAAGGGTTTGCTATTGCTAGCAAAGGAGGAGGAGGAGGAGGAGACTGGTCTTGAGGCATGGAATCTAAACAACCAGCAGGTAGTTTTAAAAAGATAACAAGTCCATCCCTGAGTTTTGCAAGCATTTTTATGCACCAAGTAGGGAGGAGAAGGATGTAAACTGAGAAAGATGGAAGGATTTACATTAGCTATAGACAAAGGGAATGGGCTAGTTCTGGGATAGGCTCAGTAGAGTCCGCAAGGAAGAAACATCCGCTCTTATGTATTGGCTGTGGGCAGCAGATTGAAAAGTTCATTGAAATTAGAAGAGGCCCTGGGGCTGGCTATTCTCTCTTTTGGATAATCTTAGAAAGAGTCACCTGCAAATTAATCCCAATTTCCAACAGATATACAGGAATGTGAGCAGTCTTTTATCAGAGCTGGTCCACAGCTATTTATAGGCTCTTTCTCTTACTCTCTGATTGCTGTAATTTTTTTTTATCCTTACCCGAGGACACTTTTTGCATTCATCTTCAGATAGAGCAAGAGAGCGAGAGGGAGGAAGCGAGAGACAGAAACATCGATGTGAGAAAGACACATCAACTGGCTGCCACCCACATGACCCCAACCAGGGCCGGGAACAAACTACAACAGAGGTACATGCCCTTAGTGGGAACCGAACCCAGGTCTCTCTGGACAGCAGGCCAACACTCTAACTGCTGAGCCAAACCAGCCAGGCACCTCCTGCTATTTCTGAAACTTGATTCCACTTATATCTCAGGTTTTATGAAGTGTATGTCATCTCCCTGGTTAGAGTTGAGCCTCGTAAAGACAGAGACAATTATTAGAATTTTCCAGAGAGAAACCACATCAGCGGTTTATTTATTTATTTTTTTTTACTTTTTTTTTTTTTTAATCCTCACCCAAGGACATTTTTTGTTCAGATAGAGTGGGAGGAAAAGAGAGGAAGAGAGAGAGAGAGAAACATCGATGTGAAAGGGACACATCGAGTAGCTGCCACCCGCATGACCAACCAGGGCCGGGGACAAACTGCAACCGAGGTACATGCCCTTAGCGGGAACCGAACCCGGGTCTCTCGGGACCGCAGGCCGACGCTCTAACCGCTGAGCCAAACCGGCCAGGGCGACATCAGTGGTTTATATCAAACCAAGCTCAGGCCAAGCCCTAGCCTTCAACTGGAGGACATTCTCTACTGCCTAGCACAGTGCCTGGCCCCCTGCAGGCAATTTATAAACTTTGTAGTAGCAAAGACTACAATCAACTCTACAACTTGTCCATAGGCAGGGATAATCTGAAAATTGAGAGCTTAAGAATGATCAGCCTTGGCTGGTTTGGCTCAGTGGTTTGGCCCACGGACCAGAGAGTCTCAGGTTCAATTCTAGTCAAGGGCATGTACCTTGGTTGTGGTTCTATCCTTGGTCCTGATGGGGGTTGTGTGGGCGGTACCCAATCTATGTGTCTATCTCACATTAATGTTTCTTTCTCTCCCTCCCTCTCTACCTGAAAATCAATGGAAAAATATCCTCAGGTGAGGATTAAAAAAGAAAGAAAGAAAGAATGATCAAACAAAAATGTAAAATAATCTGGCTCATGCCTTGCCTCTTCCCTCCTCTTAGGTGAAACCAAGTCATACCACCTTTACTCACTCCTGCCTGGAGACTTCCTTGTTACCTTTCCCCTGGCTCCCACAAATATCACCCAGTTCAAGCTTGGCCTCTCCCCTTTCTTTGAGTACATTTCCTAAAGTCTCTGGAGTAACTCAAGGTGAGTAAGTGCTAATAATCTGTAACTCTTAGTGTTTGCTCTAAGCAGTAGAACCTTTATTTGCTTTAGGCTATTTCCAAACAAGGCCTGGAGCCAAGAGCCCCAGTGGTCTGGGAAAACACCTTTGCCTCTGTGGTTCCTGTTTCTCAAACCCTCCTGGACCTGAAGTCCTGAGGGTCTTCCACCAACCCAGCTCCCTCTCCTTTAGGCTGGAGTAAATAAACCACCTTCCTGACCAATATGGAGGCCTGGCCAGACCCACTGCTCCAGTGTTTCTGTCAAGAGAGTATATATAGCCTCTCCTCCTTGATCCTGTGTGCTTTCCACCTTCTGTAAATTGGTGGAAACTGTAAACAGAGTGAGGACAGGACATGTCCCCAGGCAACAACACCACTATTGCTGATACTGTTTGCCAATGATGGGAGTGGGAACACACAGAGGGAGTGGGAACCCACCATGTCATCCTCTCTTTTGCCCATCCTGTGTACTCACTTTCCTGCCAGATGTTAAGCTACAAGAGTCACTGAAAGGTATAAGGAAATTCAAAGGAGCAAAAAGGCTTGGGGAAGAAATCTTAACACATTGAGGGTTATGGAGGCGGGAAGTAGGAGGGGAGGAAAGAAATACTGCTGCCAAGTTATCGGTTACTTATGTTCTTAAGAATGCTTCATGGCTTTTGTTTGGCCAGTTTTACCTCCTAGATTCCCGTAAAACACATGGTTCAACCTGTTACCTAACAAGGTCAGCGTCATTTAGCTGATCTCGCCCTCCAATGGGAACACTGGCCTGGGATTAAAGCACAAACCTACAAGCCAAGTACAGAGGCCTGAGCCATCCCAAGAAGTCCGGAGCTTCTAACTGGAAACCTTCCACACCCTCTTCAAGGGATTTACAGCATCGCCAACAGTCACAATGAAAGTTCTAATCTCTTCCCTCCTTCTGTTGCTGCCACTAATGCTGATGTCCGTGGTCTCTAGCAACCCAAATTCAGGTAAATAAAATTAATTTTCTATAAAAGGGGGAAAGGGGGGGGAGAATGTGGTAAAACAGAAAAGAAAATGTAGCCCAAAAAATGCATTAAAATGTAGCTCCTTTTAGCTACAGGGATTTGGGGCCAGTTAGCCTATCTCAATGCCTCTTTCCTCATTTACAAAAGGGAGAAAACTGTACTTACATCCAAAGAAAGTTGAGAGTTAAATGAGATCATGTATATGAAAATGTCTGAAACTGTAGCTGACAAAGAAAATTTTTTTAAAAGTTAGCTCAACAAAGATCTACTCCCTTACTTTTCCCCCAATCCCTCTTCCCGCAGAGTAATGAATTTCCCCAAGGCCAATCTTGGTGGCAGTGGTGTAAAGGTGCTGAGGGCAACTGCACATTTGCAGAAAATAAGGAAGTCCTTGCTTGTATTCTTTTTTTTCTTTTTTTTTTAATCCTCACCAGAGGACATTTTTCCATTTTTTGTTCAGGTAGAGTGGGAGGGAGAGAGAGGAACAGAGAGAGAGAGAGAAACATCGATGCGAAAGGAACACATCGAGTGGCTGCCACCCGCACAACCGACCAGGGCCGGGGACAAACTGCAACCGAGGTCCGTGCCCCTAGTGGGAACCGAACCTGGGTCTCTCAGGACCGCAGGCCGACGCTCTAACTGCTGAGCCAAACTGGCCAGAGCTTGCTTGTATTCTTTATAGTGCACCAGACACCCCACCAGCACTTATAATGCTACTTAATGGCAAAGAAATAAACTAGAAACATCATACCACCAGATAGCATCCATATTTGAAGTGTTAGCCATATCAAGCCCTATTTTTTTTTTTTATCCTCACACAGGACACTTTTTTGCATTTATCTTCAGGCAGAGCAGGAGGAAGAGAGAGAGAGAGAAACATCTACGCGAGAGAGACACATCGAGTGGTTGCCACCCAACCGGGGCCGGGGACAAACTGCATCCGAGGTACGCACCCGCAGCGGGAACCGAACCAGGGACTCTCCGGTCCATGGGCCAAGGCTCTAACCACTGAGCAAAACCAGCCAGGACCCAAGCCCTATTTTAATAGCTCACCTTTTGGGAAGCAGACTCTTCTTGGTTAGGATGTTTGAATCAGCACCAGTGATCTAGCCCTTAGCAGAACAACCATGCAGAAGAGAGCTCATCCCCATGTATGTTTCTGCTTGAAAGAACTTTTTTCCCAAGGGCTACCTTGAGGTGAAATAGTTTTGTTACATACTCAGCATGAACTTGGTCCTAAAATTAAGAGTTCACCCTACTCTACCCCAATTTCAATCTTCTTCTTCCTTGTAGAGAGAGTTTTCTGAGGCCTAGCCCACCATTCTGGAAGAGAAGGCTTTTCCATCACTGACAGACACCAAGGCTAGAATACTAAACCTAGAGTCCTCAGCCTGGATTCCACCTCTTTCACTCTCTAACAAATGCTCTATGCTCCACCTAAACTAGACTGTTGGTGCCCTGGCCGGTTTGGCTCAGCGGTTGGAGCGTCGGCCTGCGGTCCTGAGAGATCCAGGTTCGGTTCCCGCTAAGGGCACGTACCTCGGTTGCAGTTTGTCCCCGGCCCTGGTTGAGTCATGTGGGTGGTAACCACTTGATGTGTCCCTTTCACGTCGATGTTTCTCTCTCTCTCCCTCCCACTCTATCTGAACAAAATATCGAAAAAATTTCCTGGGGTGAGGATTAAATAAGTAAATAAAACAATAAAAACTATCATGTACTAAACATCTGCTTGGGCACTGGGCGCCCACAGTATCTCATTTTTTCCTAACAACTCTGCAAGGTAGATACTCCAGTACTGGTTTTACAAATGAGAGAACCAATGATCAAAGAACCTAAGTGACTTGTCCAAGACTACACAGTTAAGTGGCAGAGCAAGCAGTTAACCCCAGAACCATGTGGACAGTCTATGCTTATCCCACTGTGTCAGTATTTTCCAAAACTGACTGTAGATGAAATATAGAGTAGATTTACTTTAATAGTTATGTTTATTTTAATGCATGTTAGAAAAAAATCTAAGCATGTAATCAAATACATAATCTCACAAATAATATTGATAGGATAGGCTGTTTTTATTTTATTTATTTTTAATCCTCACCTGAGGATATATGTTTTTTCTATGTATCTTCAGATAGAGTGAGAGAGAAGGAGAAAAGGAGAGAGAGAGAAACATCGACATTAGAGGGACACATCAACTGACTGCCTCCCACACAACCCCGACCAGGGCCAGGGATGAACCGCAACCGATGTACATGCCCTTGACTGAAATCAAACCTGTGACCCATTGGTCTGTGGGCCGACACGTCAACCGCTGAGCCAAACCAGCCAGGGTGGGATAAGGCTGTTATGTAAATTAAAAGAGAAAATATGAAGTAAACAATAGTAGAGGTGGTACAAGCTATACTAGAATCATAAAGGTGGTCCATAAATGCTATAGCAACATACAGTTTCATTTTCAGTCACACTGTGATATTGGAGTCAAATAGGGCTGCAGAAAATACAACTCTTGGACCTGAATTTTAGCTCTAGATGTATCTCCATTACCTTTATGAACTTGGCCTTTTCGTTAACTCCCTCTGGGCCTCAGTTCCTTCATCTGAAAAATAAGAGGTAGTGATTTAGTTAATTAGTACTATTTATATTTATTTGTTTGTTTGTTTGTTTGTTTGTTTGTTTGTTTGTTTTAATCCTCACCGGAGGACACTTTTGCATTTATCTTCAGATAGAGTGGGAAGGAGAGAGAGAGAGAAACATCAACGTGAGAGAGACACATTGAGTGGCTGCCACCCACACGACATCAACCGGGGCCAGGGACAAACTGCAACCGAGGTACAAGCCCTTAGTGGAAACCAAACCTGGAACTCTCCAGTCCACAGGCCAATGCTCTAACCACTGAGAAAACTGGCCAGGGCAATTAGTACGGTCTTTTTAAAAGCAATTTGGGGACCTGGCCGGGTAGCTCTGTTGGTTGGAGCATCATCCCAATGCGTTAAGGGGCGGATTTGATCCCAGGTCAGGGCACACACAATAATTAACCAATGAATGCAAAGTAAGTGGAACAACAGACTGATGTTTCTCTCTCAACAGATCGATGTTTTTTCTCTTCCCCCCTCTCTCTAAAATCAATAGATTTTTAAAAATAAAAGCAATTGGGTAATGATATCAAGAAACACAGAACTGTTTTTTGTTGTTTTGTTGTTGTTTTTTTAATCCTCACCTGAGAACATGTTTTTGATATTTTGTTCAGATAGAGTGTGAGGGAGAGAGAGAGACAGAAACATCGATGTGAAAGGAACACATTGAGTGGTCGCCACCCACACGACCCAATCAGGGCCGGGGACAAACTGCAACCGAGGTACGTGCCCTTAGCAGGAACCAAACCCGGGTCTCTCCAGACCGCAGGCCAATGCTCTAACCGCTGAGCCAAACCGGCCAGGGCCAGAACTGTTTTTTTACTTTTGACGCAGAAATTCCATTTTAGGAAATTTTGCCCAAGATAATACAAAATTTGGAAAACAGTTACAAGCACACAGAAATTTATCAATATACAAAAATAAAGCAATCTAACTATTCAGCAACAGGAGAACAGTTAAGTAAGTTGGAGCACATATACTTGTTGGGAGTGTTGTGTCATCATTAAAAATGAAGATGACAGCCCCGGCCGGTTTGGCTCAGCGGTTAGAGCGTCGGCCCGCGGTCCAGAGAGACCTGGGTCGATTCCTGCTAAGGGCACATACCTCGGTTGCAATTTGTCCCTGGCCCTGGTTGGTCGTGCGGGTGGCAGCCACTTGATGTGTCCCTTTCACGTGGATGCTCTCTCTCTCTCTCTCTCTCTCTCTCTCTCTCTCTCTCTTCTTCTCTCTCCCTCCCACTCTATCTGAACAAAAAATGGAAGAAAATGTCCTCGGGTGAGAATAGAAAAAAAAATGAAGATGACATTGCAAAGTGCTTATAAAGTAAAAAGAAATTTGTTCATTTACTATGGTTATCACTATATAAAGAAAATCATATGCAGGAAACATGCCAATATACCAACAGTTGGTAAGAGTACATATTTTTTTATTTGTACTTTCTAGATTTTCTCTAATGTAGTGATATTACATTTAGAATGAAAAAAAAAAAGACTTTTCAATGAAGCGATCCAACCAAGATTCCTCTGGCTCTATTATTCTGTGGCTTTTCCCTGTAACTAAGAGAAGTCAGGTGAGAATAAAATATTAGAAAAGTTTAGATGGCAGGGGCTCTGCCTGTTTGAATTACTTGAACAGCACATGAAAACATTTAGAAACTAGCATTTGAGGAAATGATGCAACATCCTCCACTTATGCGGCAGAAAGGGCACAAGTCTGAGAAACAGGAGAACTGAACTGAACCAGATGATCTCTAAGGGCCCTCTCTAGACAAATTGTCTGTTCACTTATTGAACAAATATTTACCAAGTGCCTACCATGTGTCAGGAACCATTCAGCTGAATGACTACTGAGCTACTGGTTCAGAATCTAGAAGGGGAAAATATTTTTAGTTTGCAAGGGCTGCCATAACAAAATACCATAGACTGGGTGGCTTAAACAACAAAAATTTACTGTCTCAGAGTTCTAGAAGCTAGAAGTCCAAGAGCAATGTGTTAAATTGGGTTTCTCCTGAGGCCTCTCTCCTAGACTTGCAGATGGACCCCTCCTTGGTCATTCCTCTTCACAAATACATCCATGGTGTTTCTTTGTGTGTTAAAATGTCTTTTTATTTTAAAATTTTTTTTCTTTATTGAATTTTAGAGAGAGAGGAAGGGAGAGGGAGAGAGAGATAGAAATATCGATGAGAAAACATCGATTAGCTGCCTCCTGCATGCCCCCCACTAGGGACTGGGCCCACAACCTGGGCATATACCCTGACTGGGGATCGAACCAGCGACCTCTTGGTACATGGGTCGATGCTCAACCACTGAGCCATACCAGCTGGGCAAATGTCTTCTTATAAGGACTCCAACCAGATTGGATTAGGGCCCACCAAAACAGCCTCATTTTAATCCAATCACCTCTTTAATGGCCCTATCTCCAAATACAGTTATTCTGAGGTACTGAGGATTAGAGTTTCAACATGAATTTTGGGAGGGACACAATTCAGGTCACAACGTGTTTTATTATTATTATTATTTTAATGTTGAGTTTCTTTTTTTTTCTTTATTGACTTTAGAGAGAGGAAGGGACAGGGAGCAAGAGATAGAAACATCAATGAAAGAGAACACTGATTGGCCACCTCCTGCATGCCCCCCACTGGGGATTTGGCCCACAATTTGGGCATGTGTCCTGACCAGGAATCAAACTGGCGACCTCTTGGTGTATGGGTCAACACTCAACCACTGAGCTACACTGGCCAGGCTCACAACATAGTTTAAACAACAAACTATAATTGTGCAATAATAGAACTGCATTCAAATATGATAGGGAACCACGTGAAGGCATAATTAATTCCGACAGGAATATCAGAAACTACTATACAGAGGACGTATCACCTGGGCCTAGTTCTAGTTCCAGAATCTTAGATATAAACCATCATCCCTGATTGTCATAAAAATATTTTAGGTATTACAAAATGGGAATAAGACAGCATCAGGTGATAAGACATACCTGAATAGAGGTCAAAAGAGAAATGGCAGCCCTGACCGGTTTGGCTCAGCAGTTGGAGCATCGACCTGCGGACCAGAGAGTCCGGGTTCAGTTCCCGCTAGGGGCACGTACCAAAAAAAGAGAGAGAGAGAAATGGCTTTGCCCTGGCCGGTTTGCAAAGTGGTTAGAGCATAGGCCTGCAGACCAGAGTCCCAGGTTTGATTCCCACTAAGGGCACGTACCTCAGTTGTGGTTTGTCCTCGACCCAAGTTGGGGTCATGGGGGTGCAAACAATTGATGTGTCTCTCTCACATCGTTCTCTCTCTCTCTCTCTCTCTCTCTCTCTCTCTCTCTCTCTCTCTCTCTCTCTCCCTCCTTCCCTCTCCCTCCATTCTATCTGAAGATAAATGCAAAAATGTCCTCGGGTGAGGATAAAAAAGAGAAATGGCTTTTGTTCCAGGGGAGCAAAGGTAAATGCCATCTTTTTATAGTTGAACTGGGAATAGGGATTCAAATACAGCAAACTTTGAGGTCAGGTGAAGATCCTGACGGGTTTATGGAATAATCTGTTCATTCCTTAAGTTATGAGGATATTAATGTGTGGTTGGGGGGTAAGGTCTTGATTAAGCCCCACCTCAGACCTCTCTTCCATCTAGAAGCCATTCTTTCTCCACCTACCTCCAGCTAAGCTTTTCTCTAGGCCGAAATTTTCAACCTCAATTCCTTATCCATTTAAAATACTCTTCTCTTGAGTACTTGAGTTAAAATACTTCTAGATCCCTAAGTAAAAAAGGAAGAGAAATGGAACTGAGATAAACTAGGCAACACAATGCTGGGGGACCATTTCTGTTGGCCCTTTCCCTTTCCAGTATCTGGAAGTGACCTGTTTCCTTCCAACAGGGGTCGCCAGAGGCCATAGGGACAAACGCCAGGGTTCTGGGAGGTGGCTCCAGGAAGGCGGCCAAGAATGTGAGTGCAAAGGTCAGTAACTCAGTATCAACAAGAGCAATGCACCATCGATACCCTAACTCACTCCCTTGAGTCCCTGAGAGCAGTACAGAACTTTTCGGAGCTGAGTCATCCAATCCCCTCTCCATCAGCCCACCACATTCAGCACCAATACTTGTTTTCTTCCCAAGTCTCCGGAGAGGACTGGACTCCTCCAAGGTCCAGGGGAGAGCTGGCTAAATTTCTGCCTGCCTCCTCCCCCATACTCTTCCCCTAAGAACCCAGGGCTGCCTTCCAAAAGCTTCCTGGATCTTATTCTCAAATTTATTTTTACTCACAGATAAGACTGAAACCAGAGAGGCAGAATGGCTTGCCCCAGGTAAAGCACTACTAGAAGGCTGACACTTAGGTCTTATTTCTCATTTTTTAGTCTCCCTAATGATATCCTGCCACCCTCTCCACACCTGCCACCAGATTCTTGCCAACACAGGTCGGGAAAAACTGCTCAGAAATATATATATACATTGTAACTGGATATCTCCATTGTTCCATGTTGACCCTTTCCCCCATCCCACTGCAGTATGAAAAAGCAAAGAAGATGGCAAGTAAAGCCCTGCCCTACTCCCTACGCCCAAACATGTAACCCTCCCATCTAAGTAGCAACCCTATTATTTCAGACTGGTTCCTGAGAGCTCCTAAGAGAAAACTCATGGCAGTGCCCAGGCTGCCAAAGAAGCGATGTCCCTGTGATCATTTCAAGGGCAATGTGAAGAAAACCAGTAAGTTTCAAAAGAATGACCTTCTTAAACCACAGTCACTCAGTGGAATCAACTAGGGAAAAGCGGGGGTGAAATGAAGCCCAGGGTAAACATCTCAGTCCTTTCTACTAATGTCAGTTTGTGGGGAAACAGGAAGAGGAAGAAAAACAGATACAATTCTCCCAATAGAAAGGCTTAACCAAAGTCTTAGATTTTAGAACCCCATTGCTTATCTAAGTGGAGGGAAATAGGGCTGTTGGGGACCTGGTCGTTGATCTCTGAAAATGACACCAGTGTCAATGTCAAACAGAATGTGATTCCTCCCTAGTCTAGCAGTTGTGTTTGGTTGTGTTCTATTTTTTCTTTATTGATTTTAGAGAGAGAGGAAGTGAGAGGGAGAGATAGAAATATCAATGAGAGAGAACATTGATCGGCTGCCTTCTGTATGCCCACTATTGGGGATCGGGCCCACAACCTGGGCATTACTTTTATATGACATTTAAAAACTGCTAGACTAGCCCTGGCCAGTTTGGCTCAGCAGTTAGAGCGTTGGCCATGGACCAGAGAGGCCTGGGTTTGGTTCCCGCTAAGGGCACATACTTCGGTTGCAGTTTGTCCCTGGCCCCAATTGGGGCCATGTGGGTGGCAGCCACTTGATGTGTCTCTCTCACATTGATGTTTCTCTTTCTCTTCCACCCTCTCTTCCTAAAGATAAATGTAAAAATGTCCTCAGGTGAGGATAAAAAAAAAAGTCAACTGGCAAATGTTAAACTTATTGATATTATGATAGTATTAAAAATGAGATAAATCAGAATCCTTATCACTGTTGATGGAAGTAAAATACTTTTTTTTTTGTGGTATGTGCCCCTAGCAGGAACCGAACCCGGGACTCTCTGGTGCGCAGGCCAACACTCAACCGCTGAGCCAAACTGGCCAGGGCAAAATAGTTTATTTGTACTACTTATCAAAAATTTAAATGTGTGTACCCCCAGTAATTTCACTTCAAGATATCTCGAGTATAGAATACTAGCATGAATACCCAAAGATGATTGATTGATTGATTGATTGATAGATAGATAGACAGATAGACAAGAATACTAATTGTAGCCATGTTTGTATTAACAAATAAATTAACATTTTAAATGTTCATCAAAAGCAAATAGGAAAATTCTGCAGTTGTCAAAAATAATAATAAAAATAATAAATTATGCGTTGATCAGAAATATATGCACAATATGTTAAATTAAAAAAAAGAAGCAGAGACCCCTACTTCTCACTCTTCACAAAAATAAATTTCAAGTGGATTAAAGATCTAAATTTGAGCCCTGCTGGGCAGCCCATCTGGCTGGAGCATCATTCCATACACCAAAAGACTGCAGGTTTGATTGCTGGTCAGGGCACATACCTAGGTTGTAGGTTCAATCCTGGGTCAGAGAACACATAGGAAGATTGATGTTTCTCTTTCATATCAATGCCCCCCCCCCCCCGTCTTTCTCTTAAATCAATTACATACCCTCAGGTGAGGATAAAAAAATCTAAATTTGAGAGACAAAAAAGAATGACTATAGAATTGAAGAATGATTATAAAAAAATAATTTCTGGCCCTGTCCCGTTTGGCTCAGCGGTTAGAGCGTCGGCCTGTGGTTCAGAGAGACCCGTGTTCGGTTCCCGCTAAGGGCACGTACCTCCGTTGCAGTTTGCCCCTGGCCCTGGTTGGTCATGCGAGTGGCAGCCACTCAATCAATGTGTCCCTTTCACGTTGATGTTTCTCTCTCTCTTCCTCTCTCTCCCTCCCACTTTATCTGAACAAAAAATGGAAAAATGTCTTCAGGTGAGGATAAAAGAAATAATAATAATTTCTGTTTTCCTTTTAACTATTATTTATTCTTATTCTAGATGGAAATACTTAAGAATAAAATCACATTTTTATTTATTTATCTTTTTTTTTTTTTTTTTTTTATCCTCACCTGAGGACATTTTTCCATATTTTTTTCAGATAGAGTGGGAGGAAGAGAGAGAGAGAGAGAGAAGCATCGATGTGAAAGGGACACATCAAGTGGTTGCCGCCCGCACTACCCAACCAGGGCTGGGGACAAACTGCAACCGAGGTACGTGCCCTTAATGGGAATCGAACCTGGGTCTCTCTGGACCACAGGCGGATGCTCACCGCTGAGCCAAACTGGCCAGGGCACATTTTTATTTATTTATTTATTTATTTATTTTTCTTTATTGGTTTTTAATTAATTTATTTATTTAATTTAGTGATTTTTAGAGAGAGAGAGGAAAAAAGAAGGAGATAGAAACATTGATGAAAGAGAACATTGATAAGAGAGAACATCAATTGGCCACCTCTTGCATGCCCCCCACTGGGGACTGTGCCCACAACCTGGGCATGTGTCCTGACCAAGAATCGAACTGGTGACCTCTTGGTGCATGGGTCGATGCTCAACCACTGAGCTACACCGCCCAGACTCTTTATTGGTTTTTATTTATTTTTATATTTTTATCCTCACCCGAGATCATGGTAGGGAGAGAGAGAGAGAAACATAGACGTGAAAGGGCCCCATCGAGTGGTCGCCACCTGCACGACCCAACCAGGGCCAGGGACAAACTGCAACCGAGGTACGTGCCCTTAGCAGGAACCGAACCTGGGTCTCTCTGGACCGCAGGCTAACGCTCTAACTGCTGAGCCAAACCAGCCAGGGCTCTTTATTGGTTATTAGAGAGAGAGGAAGGGAGAGGGGGAGAGAGAGAAAGAAACATCAATGAGAGAGAACATCGATTGGCCGCCTCCATCAGCCCCCCACTGGGGACTGGGCCCACAACCTGGGCATGTGGCCTGACCAGGAATCGAACTGGCGACCTCTTGGTGCATGGGTGGATGCTCAACCACTGAGCCACACCAGCCAGGCTAAAATTGCATTTTTATAATTAAATTTAAAAATTAACAGATAAGCCCTGGCCGGTTTGGCTCAGCAGTTGGAGCATCAGCCTGTGGACCAGAGAGTCCTGGGTTCAGTTCCTGCTAGGGGCATGTACCAAAAAATAAATTTGAGAGACAAGTTTATAATGGAATATAGGAAAATATATTTATGACTTTGGGACAGGAAAGGATTTCTTAAATAAGACACAAAAAATGTAAGCCATTAACAAAAAGATTAATAAACCTGAATTCATTGAAGTTAAGAAATTTTGGCCATCAAAAGAATAAAATGACTATCTAAAAGTAGGAGATGAGCCCTGGCCGATTAGGCTCAGCAGTTAGACCATCAGCCCAGGGACCAAAGAGCTGTGGGTTTAATTCCTGGTCAAGAGCATGTACCTAGGTTGTAGGTTCGATCCCTGGCCCTGGTTGGGGTCATGTGGGAGGCTACCAATCAACGTGTCTCTCTCACATTGATGTTCTCTTCCTCTCTCTCTGAAAATCAATGGAGGAATATCCTCGTGTGAGGATTTAACAACAAATAAATAAATGTAGGAGATGATATCTGCAATATATAACCAACAAAGGATTAACATTCAGACTATATAAAGAATTCCTGCCCTGGCCGGTTTGGCTCAGCGGTTAGAGCATCGGCCTGCGGTCCCGAGAGACCAGGGTTCGGTTCCCGCTTAGGGCATGTACCTTGGTTGCAGTTTGTCCCCGGCCCTGGTTAGGTTGTGTGGGTGGCAACCACTCGATGTGTCCCTTTCACATCGATGTTTCTCTCTCTCTCTCTCCCTCCCACTCTATCTGAACAAAATATAAAATTAAAAAATGTCCTCGGGTGAGGATAAAAAAAAATAAAACAGATATCACTAAAAAACATCATATTGGCAAACATTTTAAAGTCTGACGATACCAAGTGTTGGCAAAGACTAGGGGACAAAGAAACTCTCATGTTGTGCTAATGAGAGTATAAATTGGTAAACTGCTTTGAAAAAGTGCTGGCAGTTATCTACTAAAGTTTAAGCTCTGTCATCAAGCAATTCCTCTCTTAAGTAACTACAAGAAATGCATGCTGATATACACCAGGAGACATGTACAAGAATTCATAGCAGCATTGCTTATAACTATCCCAAACTGAAAATTGACCAATAAATGGTGGCATATTCTAATATTATATATCAGTGAGAATAAAAAAACACATAACAATGTAAATGGGTCTTACAAACATAATGTTGAGTAAAAATAACCAAGACATGAGGAAATAGTTCCAGTATGACTTCATATAAATAAAGTTTTAAAATAGGCAAAATTAAACTAAATTATCTAGGAATACATAAGTAAGTGGTAAAACAGTAAAGAAAAAAGTAAATGCTTACTATAAAATCAGGGGGAGAGGGAGGATAGTGATCAGAAAAGGAGTGGGTTGCTGGCAATATTCTATTTATAGGTCTGGGTAGTAGTTTCATAAACATCTGCTTTATAACTGTTTATTGAACTGCACATATATGGTTTTATGGGCTCTTATAGATGTATAATATTTTGCAGTAAATATTTGTTAAAGGTGCAGAGCAAAACAATATATATAGTATAACCTCATTTTTATTTTTTAAAGTAAACGTACACACAAAAAGATATGGAAGACTATATAGTAAACTATGAACAGTAGTTCGCTCTGGGGAATGGGGAGTGGAATTGAGCAGCATTGTCCTTTTACATTTTTTACTGGATATAGTTTTTTATTTTAATTTTTTCCACTAGACGAGGCTTACTTTTATCATTTTAAAAGCTCTCATAAACCTGGTAGGTTTGGCTCAGCAGTCAGAGCATTGGCCTGAGGATTGTAGAATCACCGATTTGACTCCTGGTAGGGCACATACCTTGGTTGCAGGTTGCAGGTTTGATCCCCAGCCCCAGTCAGGGTCATGCAGGAGGCAACCAACTGATGTGACCACATCAATGTTTCTCTCTCTCTCTCTCCCTTCCTCCTTCCCACTGTATCTAAAAATGGAAAAATATCCTAGGTGAGGATTTTTTAAAAATCTCTCATAAAAATTAAATTTAACAAAATTTTAACACTAGTCTCACCCCTTTATTTTCACCCTAGGGCACCGAAGGCACCACAGGAAGCCAAACAAGCACTTCAGAGCCTGCCAGCAATTTATCAAACGCTGTCAGCTAGCAAGCTTTGCCCTGCCTCTATAGGACCTCTGACAGCCCACTCTCCCAATGAAACATTCTTAGTCAGGAAGGTAGTCAGCACACCTGGAGAATACTCTTCTCCCATCTCAAGCTCCCTCTCCCTGTCCCCACTCCCTAACTCATTCCAGTGTTCTCAAAAAGTGCTTTTCCCAAGATTATTTTGATTATTGCTCCCTCTAGTGCTTTCTCTTATCAGTCTTTTCCTGTGCCCTCTCATTACCCAGGCTTAATTTAGCTTAATTACCTGAAAGAAACCAGGAAATCTCAGTTTCGTATCTGGTTCCACCTGACGCATATAGAAGTCAATAAATATTTTTAAATGTAATAAGTCAAAGTCATTTTTTTAATGGGGTCTGGCCACTCACATTCAATTCAGATGACCCACTTTACCCTGTTTCTCCAAACTCAACTCACATTCTACTACATCTATACACACTTCTCCATCTCTTAGTCCCAGAGGACTAAGTTGGGATGCTGCCTATGAGAAAAAAAAACACATTTTTACTGCGTGGTGAGGGGGTGGGGCCCTATTTATGACACAAGAGGGCAAGCCCCTCCCCTATGGTAGTTGAGTGGTGGGCAATCAGCCTCCTCCTGTTTCTAATACATCCTCCTACAGCTGGAGGCACAGGAGTGAGGGCCAGCAGTGCCATAAAAAGACCAAGAATGCCAGGATAAAGGAGTGAAACCCGTAGAGAGGTGAAATCATGAGGAATCAATGAGGCATCTGTGACAAAGGAGGCCTGGGTGGGGGGCCAGAAGCATGAAGCCTGGGAGATTAACGTCTCCTATGAGGGAATTAACCACGGTGGAGCCAGTTTCTGAGGCAGTACCTAGACCTGACCGGGAACCTGAGCCACACCAGATACCTATTACCCAGCCGGACCTTGGCCCAGAAAAGACAACCACAGCACAGCCAGCATCTAAGATTCAGCAGGGACCCAATACCCAACAGGAGCCTGCTTCTCAGCAAAGACCCCTCACTCAGCAGGAGCCCCTTGCCCAACATGAAGCTGAATCTCAGCAGGAAACTAGAGCCCAACAAAAATCTGCTTTACAGCAGGAACTCCTTGCCCCACAGCAATCACCTCCCATCCAACGGGTGCTCCCCACTCAACAGGGAGCTGCCTCACAGCAGGGTCCTGAGCCAGAAAAAGAATCTAGAACTCAACAGGAGCCAGAATTGGGAGCAGGATGTGTAGCTCAGCCAGGACCTGGCCCAGTAGAGCCACCTCTAGCTCAACAAGAAGCTGGATCAACATCTTGGGCCCAAACTCAATCTATGTCCCAACAGAACATAGGACAGTCAGACCCTGTAGTCCAGCAAAGAGCTCCAGTCAAATCCCAGAAGGCATCTTTGAACAAGTTGGGATTTCTATCAAAACTTCACAAACTATCCATACAGCGACCAGCCTCAGAGTGGAAGACATTTCGTGAGCAGGTCACAGATTGTGACTTAGATTCAGGGTATCCATCCAAGGCTGATTCACCAGCCATGAGGAGTGGAACAGTGGCCCAGGGGATGAAGTTGGACTTCAAGGGGAAACCTGGTTATGAAGTCATGTCAGGATATGGTGGGACATCAGCCCAAGGGAAGAAAACCAGCAACCAGAATCGCAGACGCTACTGGGACACAGGTAAGTTGATCCTGGAGAATGGGAGTCTCCCAGGGACAGTTATTCATCCCACCAAGAAGTAGTTGAGAGCTGCCAGTATGTCAGGTCAGCTCAGGGGATCCCTCAACAGTCCTGTGAAACAAAGATCAACAGCCCCATTTGATAGATGAGGAAGCCCAGGCCTGGAGATGTAAAAGATCTGACTCGAGGTGGGCAGTAGGAAAGTGGCCAGTCCAGGATCCAAAGCCAACATCTGACTTCTTCCCAGGCACCAGGCTGCCTTCCTTCGATGAATTTTGGGTAAATCCATCGAACACCAAAGAAGCTTACCAGTATTCATCCATTCCTCCCCAAACCCATTGAAGCACAATTTAGGGGCAGACAATGGGGTGTACACCAGAGACACAAGGCTGAATGAGGCCCCTTACCCTCAGGGAGTTTCCATCCAGACTAGGCCAAAACCGATGCCTTAGCAATCCTTGAGCTCTGGGGGTTGTCCCTCCGCAGCAGGACACATGCTCTCCTCCCTAGAGGAGTCCCAGTCTAGCCAGGCACGAAGGCCTTATGGGTTGTGTTCTGGAAGGGAGAGCCTAGGAGAGGGGCCATGGGGTCTGCCAAGTCCCAGACAAGGTCGAAGCTAGAGGAAGGGAGAGTTGGGGGTAGTGGGAGGGGAGAGTGATGGCCACCAGCCCTCCCTCCCCCCCTCTGCAGCAGGCAGTGGTGCCCCTGGGTGCCGGTTCCAGCTCCCATCCCCCTTCTCTAGGCTCCAAAGCCCTGCCAGGCAGAAGCAGGCATCGAGCTTTCTCCCTGGAATGAGGAGTTACTTGTTGAAGTAGCTGGAGGGGGAAAAAACATGCAGCCCCACTCCGGAAGCGGAGGGTGCTGCCAGGCGGCCTAGTCCAAGGGCCAGCAATGGTGGTCCCAACGCTGAGGCCCCTCCCGCCCGGGAGGACTGGCTCGTCCCTCTCAGGGTTGAGAAAGTAATTGGTGTCTCTCAGTGCCCTGGCTGGTTGTAGGCCTTGGGGGGATGGGATGGAGGGGTGGGAAGAAATAAAAGGGTTCCGGGTGTTTTTCCGGCGCTGAGGATGAGGATGTTTCTCTGGGCCTCCGAAACCGCGGGAGCGACCAGTCCGCCTCTCTTGAAGCACCTGAGCCGTGTGCTCATGCGCGAGCTGAAGGTGTGCTCATGCGCGAGCCTCGAGCCTCCTCTGTTTCCCGCCTTTTCCCAGGCGCGCGCCACTTCCTCCAACACCGCTCGTCTTGGAGCTAGTACGCAGGCGCCGAGTATTCTCTCTGCCCCCTCCTTCCCACTCCCGGGGGAGGAGAGAAGGCAGAGAAAAGAGCCACGAGAAACTGAGCAAAAGAGAACTAGGAGGCAGTGGGCAGGGAGAAGGAGGAGCTTCCTCCTCCAATGGCACGCAGGCAGAGCCACGCCTCCTGTGCTGGCGTCCCGCCCCGACTTTGAAGGGCCAGAGGACCCGGCCCGCCCCCTGCCTCGCGGCGGAGGCTCCGCTTGGCACCCCGCTCTCCCCTTCCAGCGGGCGAGCCGGGTGGCGCTCTAGGGGATCCTTACATGGGAAGGTGAGTGGGAAGACAAGGCTGAGAACCAACGTTATAAGGTCCAGGCTTCTGTGCTAGGGTGACAACCTTGAGACGCCCCACTAGACTTGACTGAAGGACGCTTTTCGCCGCCTCCAGGGCCACATTTTTGTTGGTCGCCGGTCTTTTAATGCGTATGAGGGGGCGGGGCCAGCCCTTAGGCGCTGGCAGTTGTGGGCGGGGCCCGGCGGTGGAGTGAGGTTCTAATAGCTCGGGGGGCGGGACCCAGAGTGGAGCAAGCCCATGATTGGGTGATATGGGGGCCCGGCGGTGGTGTGTAAACAGGATTGGCCCTCGGGGCGGGGCACAGCGGCTGGAATTGGTTCCCGCGCGGGGAACTGAAGAGAATTGATGGAGTCGGCGTCAGCCGGGGAAGTGGGGCTCGCCGGGTCCCCTGGGGCCCCGGCCTCGAAGAAGGACAGAATGAGATCCAACAGCCGTAGCCGCAGGCAATGGCGAAAAATCAAGGCCAAAGGTGAGCGCGCGGGGGCGGCAACAGCCCGGAAGGAACCTTGGACATCCTACGGGAAACTGGGGACTCAGTGGGCTGACCCACCGCCTCGAGAAGTAGGGGGGGTGCCTGGACTGGCCCATTGCCGCCCTGCGGGGGGATGCGAGGATGATGTGAGAGCCGAATATACCCCCCAGCATAGAGACTACCGGACGCCCCACTACTGTCTTGGGAGGAGAGTCCCGAATGAGTCTTCTGGACCAGAGTTCCCGCTCTGGCTCTGTACTCGCAGTGTGACCTTAGGCAACTCCTGCCCTCAGTGTTTCCCACCTGGGAAATAGTTCAAGCGCCGATTTTCAGGTCTCAGGCACTCTTGGAAGAAAGAGGTTTATAAGTTGTTGCCAAAGAGGAATTTTAGGGGTGAGTCAGAGAAAGGTAGGAGGAAGGGGTGCCCCAGAGTGGGAAATGCCAGGGGGCCAGTACAGCTCAAAACAGACCCGTGCTCCCATCCTTCATTCATTCAGTCTACTCATCCATTTCCTGTCAGCCCACCTGCTTCAGCCCTGCTCCCCTGGGGCCTATCTTCCTGACCCCACTCCTAGGACTAGGGGTTCCTGGGTTGGTTTCCAACTGCCACACCCTCCCTCAGGAGAAGGGAGGGTTGTCACCTGGGTTCCAAAGGTATCACATTATTTACTGAAAGATAGCCCAGTGGAGATAATGCAAGCCTCAGGGAGAGGCTGGCATTAAGCCCTTGCTTGGTTTTGAATATTTGTCAATTCAAGTGAGGACCTGTGGGAGGTTCCTGTACAGTTAAGAAACTGACATAGTCCCTGGGCCCCAGAGACCCCAAATTCTGCATTGTACATCCCTGTCAAGGATAGACCTGGAATGGGCTCCAGATGCACATGCAGGCTCAGACAGGCTCAGACTGGTGCCCAAGGGCATTCATTGTCACAAGGCAAGACAGCATCACAAGCAGGACAGAGTGTCCAAAGGCAGTACAGACCATGGTTAAGTACATGGGCACTGGAGACCTGGTTCCTCGGGCTATGTGGGAATGGGCAACAGCCTCCTTCCTTCCCTGCCTTAACATTTTGAGCTAAAAAAAGGACATAGTAATAAGAGTGTCTGACTTGTAGGGCTGTTGTGAGGTTTGAATGAATGCAGTGTGTTTGGCGCTGGCACACAGCAAACCCGCAAGAGGAGTGGAGGTTACCCTCCATTAGACCCCAAGCTCCCTAAGTGTCTGCCTTGTTTACCCTGCATTTCCAGAGCCTGCTATGCCAGGCACATAGGCACTTAAATATTTATTGAATTAATAACTAAAGGAATGCATGAACTATAACACTGGGACAATAATAATCGTGCCACACTTAGGATTGTCATGAGGAGTCAGAATCCTCTTGGGCAGGGCTTCCTATACAGGGCTGAGCCAGTCCTCACAAATCCATGGGCCCACCTACTCACAAAGGTTCATTCCCCCAAGCTCTGAGATTTACCTCTCATTTCCTGAGGCCCTGCCCTAGTGCCAGGTCTCAGTTGGGTGAATCAGACTCCACCTCTGCCCAAGGGCATCCAGGCTTGTTGGTGCAGTCCTAGTCATCAATTTGATCTTACCAGTAACCTGATGACAACCATAGTGTCATTATGATCACCTTATTTCCCAGATGATGACACTGTGGCTCTAAGGGGCAAGGTCACATTAGCTTCCTTATCTGGCCAGTGAGGGTAGAAACATGGCTACCCCCAGCCTCCTGAGGGCAGGGAGTGTGTACGCTCAGAATTACTGTGTGCCCTAGCCTTGATTCACACAAATTCGTTCAGCAGACATTCACTGAACACTTATTTGGGCAAGGCCTGGGTTCTCAGTGGTGAGGACAGACTCACATTAGAACTGTAGACGCAGACATTAATCAAATAATCCCCAAAGCAGATATAATTATAAACTGTGATAAATGCAAGAAGGAAATTCCTAAAAAAATGTAAGGGAGGCTTCCCAAGGAGGTGACATTGGACCCAAGGATGAGCTAGTGTTGACCGCTGGGCAAGGGGGGCAGGGAGGGCAGAGGGGACAGAATGAGCAAAGACCTTGAGGCCCAAGGCAGCTGCATATTACAGCACCAAGGGAGCTCAGCGAGGGAGGGGAGGAAGAGAGGAGGCTGGGCAGGCAGGGAGCCCAGATGGTCCCTGGTTTAGGAGACCATGTCCAGGATGTGGGGCTTTACCCTGAGAGCAGGGGTTGGGCTGTTGAAGGGTTGGGAGTGTGTGACCAGATTTATGTTTTAGAAAGATCCTCTGGCTGCTAAGCGGAGCAGAGATTGAAAGGGGCAAAATCAGAGGCACATAAAGAGTTGTTACAGTCATCCAAATTTGGAAGCATTAGGGGTGGGGGAGAAGGACCAGGTTCCAGAGTTTTCTAGAGGGTAGAATAGACAGGACTTGGACATGGATTGGATAGGGATAGGAGGTGGCCAGGATGATTCCCTGCATTCTGGCTTGAGCAAATGGGGAGAGATTTTCACACCACACAAACACACACACCAAGATATGCACAGATATCTCCCTGGCCCTGGTCGGGGTCATGCGGGAGGCAACCCAGTGAATGTTTCTCTCTCTCTCTCTCTCTCTCTCTCTCTCTCTCCCCCCCCTCCCACTCTATCTGAAGATGAATGGAAAAATATCCTCAAATGAGGATTTTAAAAAAGATATTAAAAAGTAAAAATAAAAAGATATGCACAAATATCAAAATATATATCCATACTCATACAAACACATGCCCAAACAATCTCACAGGCTGAGGAAAACAGACAGATACACTCACAGGCTGAGAAACACACATAGGCCATGATACATGCATAAAAACATGCCTTCAGACATACCAAGAAACAGAAAAAGATTGAGAAAAAATGTCAACACTCCCACCCACAAACAGAGGCCAGGACAAACACTAGCCATGACCTGAACCTATGTACATACATGCATGCATGTGAACCTCAGACACACACACACCTGACTACCCAGAAAGCACACAGCTGAGGCATGACAGAGAGAAGGAGCAACACTCAGATATGCCATCCTTGCTGGTTGTGACACCCTAGGCAGCATGTCACTGCTTTGGGTCTTTTTCTTCATATGCTGAAAGGGGTGATAATAGTCCTTACCTCATGCTTCCTGGGGAGGATGAAATGAGTTACTTCACAGAAAGCACATAGAGATCAGTGTCTGGCACACTACAGTCTGTCCTTAGGGCATTGTTTGCTCTTTTGTGGGAACACTCAGAGAACTGGCTGCACTTGCTGGCCCCCCTCTTGCACCTGTGTCCAGGCATTTCCCCTTCAGAAGCCCTTACCCCTCCAGGCCCCAGACCTCACCCTTCCTCCATCCTCCCCCCACTTCCTTCCCCATCCCCTGCTCAGTCCCCAGGGGCCAAAATCCAGGCCTGATTCAGCTGCCCAATAATGGCTCTATAGGGCAAAGGGCTGGTGCCCAGGCCAAGGGGCCCATCAGCCCTACCTCTGCTCCAGTCTCGCCCATGGCCCTGGTGGGCCTGCCCCTGCCCCAGTGCCCTCTGCCTGGGATTCTTGGTGAGTTTCTGGCAATCTCAACATCTCTTCCTGCCAGCTCCACCCAGCCTCGCCTCCATGGGAGCTGCCTGGACTAGGGCGAAGAGCAGGGCCCTGGAGTCATGAGAGCCTGGGATCCAGCCTCTTCCCAAATGTTTTATGTAAGTCACCGTTCTTGTCCAGGTCTTCTGTGTCCTCATCTGCAATAAAGAGCCCTACCGCATAGATGGGAAGTAAATAATAATGGCTTTATAAAGTGGGAAACCACAGTTGGGCAATAAATACCACACACTGGCCATACGCCAGGCACTGTGCAAGGGGTTCGGGTACAGCAATAAAACAAAGTCCCTGCCACCAGGGAGCTTATAAACTAATGAAGGAGACAAAGAGCAAACACATAAATAGTTAGTTGTATAGTATGTTAAACAGCATTCCATGCCACACAGGAAAATGACCCAGTCCACACCTCAGTGAGACCATTGAGAACCACCAAGCAGACAGCTTTAGAAAAGGCTGCCTGGGGGGCAGGCAGGATGGCCAAGTACAGTTTCCATCCAGAGGAAACCAGGCTCATCCAGGATCACCTGGTGAGTGGCTGGGGCCAGTGTTCTGTTGTCATAGCCACCAAGTTTAGAGCTACCTCCAAAGGCCTCTATCCATCTGTCTTTTGTCTGCCCAGAGGAGGGGTGGTCCTCTCTGAAGCTCCCATCCATCCCCTCTTTCCACTGTGACTCTTCAGGCTTCTTTTCTGCTTCAAATATTTGCTGAGCACCTACTCTTGACTAGGCCCCATGATGGGCCTGCCCCCATGGGGATGGCATTTCAGGGGGAGAGACAAGGATTCACCTCCAGCCAAGCAAATGACAGAGGCCTCAGGGCCTTTCATTTCCACTAAACCCTTACAAGACCCTGTACCTAATTTTGTATTTGTGATTTTATATTCTTTTTCCTAAATAGCGCCACCTCCGCACGTATAAGCTTCACGGCTCTTAGAAGCTCCAGGGTTCTGTGAAGCCTGGTTCTTCCCTTGGGCGGGGGGGTGGACAGATAATAAACATGTATAATTGCAAATATGTAAAATTCTAGAAGAACAACTTAAGTATGTCGGCAGTAAACAGTGCTGGGCAGCATACCTCCTATTGGGATGAGCAGTTAGGGAATGCTTCTTCAAGGAGGTGACAAGCTGAGGACTCAGGGGCAAGAAAGAGCTGGCCAGGCAAGAAGCATGTGGATTAACATAGGTAAAGTGTCTCTCAGCCTTGCTTTCCCCATATATGAGGTGGAGAGAACAGTCAGAGCAGGATGGGCTGTGAAGGGTAAGCAGCACATACAGCCCTGGCTGGTTTGGCTCAGTGGTTAGAGCGTCGGCCTGCGGTCCTCGGTTGCAGTTTGTCCCCAGCCCTGGTTGGGTCATGCGGGTGGTAACCACTCGATATGTCCCTTTCTCTCTCCCCCCACTCTATCTGAACAAAAAATGGAAAAGTGTCCTCGGGTGAGGATAAAAAAATTAAATTAAAAAAAAGTAGCACGTATAGGTGCCCAGTATAGGAACACCACACCATGGGACCTGTGGCTCAGGCCCCTAGCTGAGCTTGGCCCTATCCTTAATCTGCTTTTGTCCTCCCAGGAGGGACAGGCAGGGCTGGCTACCCCCTCTCTTTCCCTAACAGCTGGGGCTGGCTGTGCCAGGGCCAGCCTGGGGGGATGGGGGTGGCAGGAGCTGAGATCACAGGGCCTTTGCTCCCTGAATCCACCCTGGAGAGGGAGGGCAGCCTGGCTGGGTGAGAGGGCACAGTTTGTTCAGGACTGGGGCTAAGACTCCTGGGTCCAAAGGGGGCTGGGATCCTGGACTCCTGGGTCTGAGGGAATAGGGGGCTCGGGGGCCTGGACTTCTGGTCTGAGGGAGGAAGGAGCTGGGGGCCTGGACCCTTGGGTCTGAGGGAGGCGGGGGCTGGGTACTCCTGAGGTGGGGGGTGATCTAAAGCAGAATTGAACTGGGGTGGGAGCAGACAGGGGGCAGGGAGTTGAGCTCCAGGCTCTGTTTATTGCACGTGGATCTCACTATCCCTTGTGGGTGGGAGGTGGCTTGGTGGCCACACCCTGGACAGGCTGTGCCCCTCCCCTGGTTTATCGCCCCAGGCACAAGCCACATTCCCACAGTTCAGCAGCCAATCCTAGCCTGGTGCAAGTTCTGAAGAGGCCTAGAGGGGTGAGTGCGCAGCCAGCTGAGAAACAGGAATGACCCTGAGAGACAGGAATGACCACTGGCAAACCCCAGGGCCTAGAAAAAAGAGAGTACAACCTTCTTCTGGGAAGAGCAGGGGGCCTTCAACCCAGGAGCCAGGCAAGGTGCTGGGTGGGCTGCAAGAGGGAAGTCTCTCTGGAGCAGAGGGCATCCCCACCAAGGGGGACCCTCAAGTGTGGGGAGTCAGGTCTAATCCAGTTTCTGAGGGCCAGAGCTAGAGACCCAGCCTCCAGAGCCCCGGGAGGGAGACACAACTCTGGACCTGAGTTTGAACTCTGTTCTAATGCTTTTTTTTTTTTCTTCTGTATTGATTTTAGAAGGAGAGGAAGGGAGAGGGAGAGACAGAAACATCATTGAGATGTGGGGATCAGGCCCACAACCTGGGCATGTGCCCTGACCGGGAATCAAATCGACTCTTGGTGCATGGGCCGATGCTCAACCACTGAGCCATACCGGCCGGGCTTTTTTTTGAGAGAGAAAGGAAGGAAGAAAAACATTAGTTTGTTGTTCCACTTTTTTTTTTTTTTTATCCTCACCCGAGGCTATTTTTCCATTTTTTGTACAGATAGAGTGGGAGGGAGAGAGAGAAACATCGACGTGAAGGGACACATCGAGTGGCTGCCACCCGCACGACCAACCAGGGCCGGGGACAAACTGCAACCGAGGTACGCGCCCTTAACGGGAACTGAACCCGGGTCTCTCTGTACCGCAGGCCGACGCTCCAACCGCTGAGCCAAACTGGCCAGGGCTTGTTCCACTTATTTATGCATTGATTGGTTGCTTCTTATATGTGCCCTGACCAGGGATCAAACTCACAACCTTGGCATATCAGGACAATGCTCTAACCAACTGAGCTACCCAGCCAGGATGCTCTACCGCTTTTAATGCATCCTTCAGCTCCTTAACACCTCTGAGCCTCAGTTTCCTCTCCTGTATAATGGGATGCTACCACTAATAGCTGAACGTGAACCGAGGCAGTGTGGGTCTCAGAGAGTTATCAGTGACAAATGAACAAATACACAGAAAGCTCTTAACGGTCTGGCACAGAGTGAGCTCAAGGGCAATGGCAGCGATGAATACGGGTACTGCTGTTCCAGGCAGGGGAGCAGAGCTGGCCCATACAGTCTAAGCCAAGTAGATAGGCCCAAGGGCCAGGGGACCCAGCTGTGAGAGGAGTGAGATGGAGTTTGGGGACCGCACAGAGGAACAGGGAAGGAGCTAGAGGGGTTCCACAGCCAGACTTGAGTGGCCAGGAAGGGGCAAGAGTGACTTCAGTTTTAGTAAGGCATCCCGGGGCCCCACCAAGTGGATGGGAATGGGTGGGCTATGGGATGAACTCTCCCAAATATTGGAGGGGAGGGTCCTGGGGCCTGAGAAGGAGGTGGGGTGGGGGCCTGAACTCCTGGGTCCCGAGAGGGAACCAGCTGGAATCCGTACAGAACCTAGAAGGTATCCTGGACCCAGGACAGTAAATGGAGACGCATGCCTGAGTTCTTGGTCCCTGAAAGGAGTAGGAAGACTCCTGGGTATAGGAGATGCTGGAGCAAGGGAACCAAGAGGAGAGAGCAGGGACACCTAGGGAAGGACAGGCTGAGGGTTCTAACTCCTGGTTCCTGAGGAGGAAGAAAGGATCTAGGTACCTAGATGCCACCTTTGGATCTAAAGGTGGAGGCTGGGTTCTGACGCCTGGGTCTGAGGGAGGAAGGGGATAGAGCCTGGACTCCTGGAGCCTGGAGCTCCAGCTGACCAAGGAGTGATCCAACTCTGCTTAATGAGCCTCTCCCCTGCCCGCAGCCTCACAGCTCATGCGCAGCATGGACATACGCACGATGACACAGTCACTGGTGACTCTGGCGGAGGACAACATGGCCTTCTTCTCCAGCCAGGGTCCTGGGGAAACAGCACGGCGGCTGTCAAATGTCTTTTTGGGTATTCGGGAGCAGGTGGTGGGGCTAGAGCCAACCCTGGGCCGCCTGCTGGGTGTGGCACACCTCTTTGACCTGGATGCAGAGACGCCAGCCAATGGGTACCGCAGCCTGGTGCACACAGCTCGCTGCTGCATGGCGCACCTGCTGCACAAATCTCGCTACGTGGCCTCCAACCGCCGCAGCATCTTCTTCCGTGCCAGCCACAACCTGGCTGAACTCGAGGCCTACCTGGCCGCCCTCACCCAGCTCCGAGCTCTGGCCTACTACGCCCAGCGCCTGCTGGCCACAAACCGGCCAGGGGGCCTCTTCTTCGAGGGTGACGAGGGGCTCACCGCAGACTTCCTGCGCGAGTATGTCACTCTGCACAAGGGCTGTTTCTACGGCCGCTGCCTAGGCTTTCAGGTGAGCCACCTGCCCAGCCCTGGGCCCACAGTGAGGCACCTGGCGGCCCCTGATCTGGCCCAGTAGCGTAGTACAGTAACAGCAAGGGTTATGGATTCAGAAAACTGTGGATACAGAAAGGGGAAGCTACCTGGGGCCCAGACAGCTACATGGGACCCTCAAACGTGGCCCCAGGCTGGGTCCACCATGTAGCCACACATCTTTCATTTGCATAGCTTTTCTCACTGTTCTCTATGGCCCCATACTCAGGAGATCCATCCACTCTTATGTTACCTGTCTGGCCCCTGAGATCATTTGAGACCCCCAGGAGGATAGTCAGTATTGTTCTTGACGGCTCATTTGTGAGAACACACCCAGTTTAGTCATCCCACTGGGGGCCTGGGAGGGACGAGGAAGGGTATGAGCTCCATTTTACAGAGGTTCAAGGGGAGCCCCCCACAAGCTGCTCAGCTGGACCCAGGTCTGCCGGAGCTTTCTGATTCACCTAAGGAGCTGCAAAGTCAGGATTTTCAGGTTGGGGGTAGGGCAAAGGAACAGATCCGAGTTGGTGACAGTGAGGAAAACCTGAGCTCGAGGCCTCTCCTCCCTGGACTAGGACCCTGACTTCTGTCTGCTGCAGTCCTTCTTCTTCCCTCTGCTCACCCCAAACCACCCTCAGGGAGACAGCTCATCTCAGCACTAAGGGAGGCAGCCTGGAGGCCTTCAGATTCATAGGAAAAGTAGTTTGTAGACTCAGAGAATTGGCGGGGTGGGGGCCTTGGGGCACCAGGTTCAGAGCAGAGGCCCACCTGCCCCTGTCTGAGTCAGTGCCAGCTCCCCTGGTCCCCAGCCACATCAGGGAACCCCACCAGGAGTATCTGAAGCTGTGTCACCTTGTAGCCCCCTTCAGACCCTCTCAAGGCCTCCCCAACTCAGTGACAGCTGAGCTTGGCAGTCTCTCAGCCTCTGTTCCCCATTTCCCTGTCGGGCAGCCTATCTTCAGTGACGCAACCTGGGTGTACCTGGGAACTTCCCCTCACCTAAACTGAACCCACAAATATTGATCAGCTCAGCTGGGCCAGCCAGCTCCTCCCTATGTCCTGGCTGTGACCTTCAAGTCATGGGAGAGAGATCCTGGGGCCACTTGAGCCAGCATCCAGCCACAGTGGCCAAGCACCACTGTGCTCTCTGGCCCGCTGGGCTCCTGGCCAGGGGGAGGGCCATGCATAACAGCTACTCAGGGCCCTGCCGTGCTATGTTGCAGGACAGCCTCCCGCTGTAAAATGTCAGCCCCATTAGAGCAAGAGGTCTCTTTTGTCTGGGTCTTGCTCTGCCCCTGCTCCAGCCCAGTGCCTAGCGCTCAGTATTTGCCAAATGAACAGAAGAACCCTACTGGCCCTGTGCCTACCTCCTGTGGCTTTTCCCCTCTGATCTTGTCTCCCTGTCACCTGTCTTCCCTGAGTCGCCTGGCTTCTCTCTCAGATGCTGTTTCCCCATTTGGCTGTCTTTCTGCCTCGATCTCTGGCCTTATCTCTGACCGTCTCCCATCTGTCTTCCTGTTGACCTGTATCTGGTCCCCATTGCTATCCGCACCTCATCTCTGTCCTCGCTGACTTTCAGGAAATCCTTGCATCATCTTACTCCCAGTTCACAATCCTCCAGTGGCTCCACCCCACATCTGGAATACGTCTAAATTCCTCAGGCCCTGTGTGAGCCCACCGCTTCTCTGACTGCATCCTGGCCTCCCTGCCCCCACTCACCCTGCTTCAGCCACACTGGCCCCAGGTTTCCTTAGCCATGCCAAGCAAGCCTGCCCCATAGCCTTTGCACTTGCCATGCCCCCTGCAAGGAACAGCCTTCCCTCACTTCATTTGGGTCCCTCGAGTCCCCTGGAGACCATCTAAAGCTAACCCCTAGTCATCATTCCGTGTTCCCTCCACCTGCTGTCTTTTCAAAGCATTGGTCCCCACTTGACATCACATGGTGTGTTCCTAGAGCAGCGCCTGGCTCGAGAGGAGCTCAGTATATGTTTGCTGAATGACAGTGTCTGCCCCTCACTTCTGCCTGTCCCTGGTCCTCCTGGGCAATGGGTGACAGCAGCATCTCTCCACAGTTCACGCCCGCCATCAGGCCATTCCTGCAGACCATCTCCATCGGGCTGGTGTCCTTTGGGGAGCACTACAAACGCAATGAAACCGGCCTCAGTGAGTCCAGGCCAGCAGGCCCTGTCTGCACCACCCCTGCCCTCCCACCCCCCCCATCCCTGCCCCCACAGCCTGACCCACTGGGCTCCCTGACACCCTCCCGACCCGCAGGTGTGACCGCCAGCTCCCTCTTCACCAGCGGCCGCTTTGCCATCGACCCAGAGCTGCGTGGGGCCGAGTTTGAGCGGATCACTCAGAACCTGGACGTGCACTTCTGGAAAGCCTTCTGGAATATCACCGAGATCGAGGTGCTATCAGTGAGTGTGGGGCCTGACGGGGCCCAAATCTGTTATAAGACCAGGACACTGGGGCCCAGAGACCCATCCCAGGCTACATCAGGTCTCTGCAGGGTTCCAGTCCCAGGGATGGCACATAAGGGAAAAGCGGGGGCTCAAGCCGCCCATCCCCAGTGCCCTTTCTGTTCCCTCCCACCAGTCTCTAGCAAACATGGCATCGGCGACCGTGAGGGTGAGCCGCCTACTCAGCCTGCCACCGGAGGCCTTAGAAATGCCACTGACTGCTGACCCCAAACTCACGGTCACCATCTCCCCTCCCTCAGCCCACACGGGCCCTGCGCCAGTCCTCGTCAGGCTCATCTCCTACGACCTGCGTGAAGGACAGGTAGGGCCCCTGCCTCGGCCGGGACCAGGCCCAGAGTGAGGGGCACAGGCAGCACCCCCCCTCACCCAGATGCCCTCCTTCCCTCCACGCTGTCTTGACTCTCACTGCTCACACCTGCGCCCTCCTGTCTGAGTACATCCCCTTGGTGGGCGGAGGCCCAGGCAGCCCCAGCTTCACCCGCCTCCTTCTCCCTCACCCCCAGGACAGTGAGGATCTCAACAGCCTGGTGAAGTCCGAGGGTCCGAGGGCCCTGGAGCTTTGGCCACGCCCCCAGCAGGCACCCCGCTCTCCGTACCTGGTCGTGCACATCCACGGCGGTGGCTTTGTGGCCCAGACCTCCAAGTCCCACGAACCCTACCTCAAGACCTGGGCTCAGGAGCTGGGTGTCCCCATCCTCTCCATCGACTACTCCCTGGCCCCAGAGGCCCCCTTCCCGCGTGCACTGGAGGAGTGCTTCTACGCCTACTGCTGGGCCATCAAGAACTGTGCCCTCCTCGGTGAGCCCAGCCCTCACTGCTACTCGCTGTTCCTGTCCCAGCCTGCTTCACCCCCAGCCCACACCGCAGGGGAGCGAGCCAGCTTGTTTCTCAAGCCTCAGTCTTCACCCCCTGCCTCCCCTTCCGTCTCCTACCACCCAGCTCTCTGCCATCTGGCCACCCCTCACTGCCCATTCCTCCATCTCCGCCTCAGCACTCGCCCCATTGCCCTACTGCTCACCCAGCCTTCCATCAACCACTTCCTCCTCTGCCTCCTGCTCCCATTCCAACCCTGACACTCCAGCTCCCCACCTCCCCCGTGGAAGTCTCCTCTGACCTTTTCTTTCCTCTTCCTGTTCCCCTTGATGTCTCCAGCCCATGGTTCCAGCTCTTCTGACATTCCACTTCCAACATCTTAGGAGGCACAGAGCAGGGTGGAACTGTGCCCTCTGCCACAGGGCCATAGCCCCTGGTCAAACTGAACCCTGGCTTCCAATTCCCGGCCTCAGATGCCCTCCCACTCCTCCCATCCCTGCCCATCCTCCTTGCTTCCAGCCTCCAGCCTCACAGCTTCCTGATCTCTGGGCCTCCCCATGTCTTGAGTCCGCCTGATTCTCTGGTCACTGTCCTTCAAATGGGTCCAAATCCCTGCCTCAGTTTACCAGTCTCTAAACCTGCAGTTGGCTCGACCTTGGGGTTGAGGCCCGCACACCCCACCTCTAAGAGCCCAGTGCTCCCAGCCCAGAGCCTGAGTTCCTCCCTACCAAGCATGACCAAGCCCCCCTCCAAACCAGGCTCAACGTGCGAGCGGATATGCCTCGCAGGGGACAGCGCAGGTGGGAACCTCTGCTTCACCGTCTCCCTTCGGGCAGCGGACTACGGGGTGCGGGTCCCAGACGGCATCATGGCAGCCTATCCAGCTACAATGCTGCAGCCCACCGCCTCTCCCTCCCGCCTGCTGAGCCTCATGGACCCCCTGCTGCCCCTCAGCGTGCTTTCCAAGTGTGTCAGTGCCTATGCTGGTAAGGCCCAGAGCTGGGAGCTAGGGGGCCAGGATGCCTGGGGCCTACAGGGACAGGGGCTAAAGCCCAATCTCCTGGGTCTGAGGAGAGGAATCTAAGACTCCCATTTAACTGATCAGCTATTCTTGGATCCCTGGGGACATAGATTCCTGAAGCTCTGGGTGTTGAGACTGGGCCCAGAAAGAGAAGAGACCAACCTAGTCCCCCACATACACTCCGCAGGTGGGGAGGCAGAAGACCACTCCGACTCAGACCAGAAGGCACTGGGCATGATGGGGCTGGTTCGGCGGGACACAGCCCTGCTCTTACGGGACCTCCGCCTGGGAGCCTCCTCGTGGCTCAACTCCTTCCTGGAGCTGAGTGGGCACAAGTCCCACCAGAACTCAGTGCCCATGGCAGGTAAGTGAAGCCCTCCTCACACACCCATGCAGCATTCCCAGGAGGAATAGCCTGGCACCCCACAAGTCCTGAGGGGGGAAGGGGCTGTGCCCTGGGGCACTCAGGGAAACAGAGATCACCCTCCCGGTTCTGCCCCATATCTGTCCTGGGTACCATAAAGCCTGGAAATTCAAGGACTTCTTGCCCTCCGGGTCATCTCAGTCCCAGGTACGATAGGATTTAACTTTCCAAACAGCCTTTCCCAGAAAGGCACCCTAGTATGTGACTTAGAAGGCCTGCCCAGATGGGCTCTCAGGTGGGAGTCCAGCCCTCCTAGATTCTTTCAGGCTTTTAACGCAGGCACACGGGGTATTATCCCTGCTGCAGGAGCTAACCTAGGAGGTTGCGGCAGGGAGATTAGCAAACGGGATGAACCTCAGGAAGTGGAGAAGACTCCCAGCCTTGAGTGGGTGGTGGGACCCTCAGGGCCCAAAGTCACTTCCATCCAGGGACCCATTTCTTCTCACCTTTCTTTAACTTTTTAAGGATTTTAAAGCACAACCAATTCAACTTATTTTCTATCTCTTGCAAATCAACAGTATTTTCTGAGTAATAGGAATTGCATGTTCAAATATATATGAATATTCAGAAAATTATTCCAATTAGTTTTATTTTAAATTAAATTTTTGATATTGGGATATTCAAATGGATGCAGATAAATACACACAAAAACAAATGGGCTTTAAATTTTAGGTACATGGACCATTGAACACTGGGGGTTTTCTTACAGGATAAAGGTGACAGGTGCTCTGTACACACACCACCAGTCTAACTCCCTACTGTACCAGATGCTTGCTGGGTGACATGAGCCTTGCTTTGCTCCTCTGTGAAATGGGTATAGTAAGAGTACCTGCCTCATAAGGTTTTCATAAGAATTGCATGCACACATTCATGTCAAGCACCCAGTACAATACTTACTGGTACACAATAGGTGCTCTTAGAGGATGCTGGAACCCCTGACTAGGGTACCCTGGGTCACAGAGCACTTACGCAGTTATTTTCATACCTTGCTTTCTGCCTTCATGGATTTTTTTTTTTTTAATCCTCACCTGAGGACATTTTTCTATTTTTTGTTCAGATAGAGTGGGAGGGGGAGAGAGAGAGAAACATCGATGTGAAAGGGACACATCAAGTGGCTGCCACCCGCACAACCCAACCAGGGCCGGGGACAAACTGCAACCGAGGTACATGCCCTTAGCGGGAACTGAACCTGGGTCTCTCTGGACTATAGGCCGACTCTCCCAACTGCTGAGCCAAACTGGCCAGGGCTGCCTTCATGGATTTATAAAGACAAGCTAGGGAAGAAAGAAAAATAAAAAAAATAAAAAAATAAAATAAAATAAAAAAAAAAAATATATATATATATACACACACACACACACACACACGTTTGGGATCCCTGGGAATCTAATATGCCCCCAAGACTTTGTAGACTCCTTTAGAGTCATGTGCACCTGCTCCTTGCTCCACTTTGATCCATTCATATGCTCTGTGTCAAATAGCCATTAAAGGATGGCTGGGCCTCATGCTGGGCCAGGAGGCTGCTGGAACAGAGTGCCAGGCCTGCTAATAAAACAGCAGAACCTAATTCAATATCTTATCCCACTGAATCCTCAGCACCTCCTGTGAGGAAACAGACTCCCAGAAGTAGTGACTTGCTCTTAACCTTCCCAGTCACCACACATACACCTCCACTAGAACATAGCTCCACCTCCAAGACCACGTGCGTGACTCCTCCCACCTGCCCCTTGCAGTTGCAGCCTGGGCACCTAGAGCTCCACTCCGCCCCAAGGAGGGTGTCTGGGGGACACTCCAGGTCTCGAAGCCTTAGGATGCAGCTCCTCCTCCAGAGGCCCCTGCCCCTCCCCTGACCTTCCCTGCCAGCCACCCACACACACAGCCAACACAGCCAGCCCCTGACCCTGCTCCTCTTGCAGAGCCAATGCGGCGCAGCGTGTCTGAAGCAGCACTGACCAAGCCTGAGGACCCACTGGGCACAGACCCCCTCAAGAACCTGACACTGAGTGACCTGAGTGTCAGAGACAACTCCGAGACATCAGGCACCTCTGAGCTGTCGCTGTCAGCAGAGACACTTGGCCCCTCCACACCATCAGATGTCAACTTCTTACCCCGGCCTGAGGATGCATCAGAAGAGCTTGAGGCCCAAGATGAGCTGCCTACCGAGACCAGATTCCGGCGCATTGATGCCTCTTTCCCGGAGGGCTTCCACCCAAGGCGCTCAAGCCAAGGCCCCACGCGGATGCCCATCTACTCATCGCCCATCGCCAAGAACCCCTTCATGTCACCACTGCTGGCACCTGAGAGCATGCTGCAGAGCCTGCCACCTGTGCACATCGTGGTGCGTGCCAGACAGGGACCAGTGGGAGGGGTGGGTGGGATGCCAGTGCACGTGGAGAAAGACAGCTCCTGGGAGTGGGGAGGGTTGTGCCACAAGGAAGGAATGCCTGGCAATGGGAGAATGGGAGGCAGGGCTCCCATTTTCTTTTGCCATCTTGTTGAGCGCCATGGGGCTGTGAGGCAGCCCCAGGGCTTGGAGAGTCAGGGAAAGGGAAGAGACAGTGGATCCTGGGGGAAGGAAGAAGCAGCAGAGGCCAAAGGGCTTGGTTATCCCTAATGTCTCCCTCCTCTGTTGCACCCTTGTACACATGTCCCACCCCCTTGGCTCATGCACCCGCCCCTGTGCCTCACCCTCATTGTCCCGCAGGCGTGCGCGCTGGACCCTATGTTGGACGACTCCGTCATGTTCGCACGGCGGCTGCGCAGCCTGGGAAAGCCCGTGACGCTGCGCGTGGTGGAGGACCTGCCGCACGGCTTCCTGAGCCTGGCGTCGCTGTGCCGGGAGACGCGGCAGGCAGCTGCGCTGTGTGTGGAGCGAATCCGCCAGATCCTCACTCTGCCCAACACCGCTGCGCCGGCCACGCCTGTCTGAGCCTCCGACCAGAACCAGGCCGCACGTGTACTTCGTGTCCTTCCGGGCTGGGAGGTGGGGGTGACACTAAAGGCCTCTTGTTCCCATCTGCGTCCCCTCGGTGGCCTAGTGAACACTGAATATGCTCCGAGAGGAGGGCCGATGGGAGGGAGCGGGATGTGCCTTAAATTGGGGGATGATAAGGGAGGGCCAGGAAGTGAGACCCTGGACTGGGGTCAGGGGCCCAGGCAAACCAGTCTGAGACAGCTGGACCAGCACTCTCCACTGCCCTGCAGCCGGTGCAGGGGGCCTGGCCTACCTGCAGGTTAGTTTGTAAATAAAAGTACTTGATTAGTTTGGCCTCTCTCAAACGGGGGGTGAGGTTGTCCATCTGGGGCAGCATGGGACTCAGCTGCTGGGATTGAGAAACCTAGGTTGATGGCTGAGGGCCCAGCTTCGGGTTTCCGAAGGAGGGACTGAACTCCGCATATCACAGACCCACTTCCCCCACAGACTTAATCCAGGTATAGCACCAAAGGATTTTGTGTTCTTAGGTACTACCCTTTGCCAACCCAACCCTACCACCCACCAGAAGGGAACCAAACCCCATAGAGAACTGCAGCAAAGCTAATGAGACACCAGAAACAAACTGGTCGCCCAAAATCTGGAAGCCCCAGCTCTGCCCACCTGTGACAGTCTCCCTCAGCCAAGATTCTGTGGCCCTGGGTTTGGAGCAGATGGTTTCAATACACAGCCTGGGGGATTGATGCAAACACAGGCTGTCAGCCCCCACAAGGGCTCCACCTATAGTAGTCAGAGAGGGCTTCACGGAGGAGGTGATCCAAGCTTGACCTTAAAGGATGAGCACAAGTTGGCTAAGCAAAAGAAACATGCAAGGTTAGAGCCAGTGGACAGTGATCAAGGCTTCTGCATGGTCAGAAAGTCAGGTGCAAAGTGGAGAGTGACCCAAAGGACCTGGCGTAGTCAACTGGAGCAAATCCTGAATTTGGACTATAACTGTAGGGCAGGGAGAGCCAAGAAGGGCTTTGGGCAGGGGAAGGCCAGGATCAGATCATGGCACTGAAGAGCCTGCTGGGACCTTGAGGGATAGGCTAAAAGGGGCAAGCATGGCCCAGCCGGTGTGGCTCAGTGGATTGAACATCATCCCATGGACTGAGAGGTCTCAGTTCAATTCCCGCTCAGGGCACGTGCCAGGGTTTCGGACTCAATCCCCAGTAAGGGGGCATGCAGGAGGCAGCCAGTTGATGTTTCTCTCTCACATCCATGTTTCTATCCTCTCTAAAAAATCAATTAAGGGAGGAAGGGTGGGCAAGAATGGAGTCATGGAAGCAAAGGAAGAGGATCAAGCCAGGGAAGGCAAGACCTGAACAGGAGCAACGGGCAGGGAGCGGGAGTAGGGGTGGAGCAGATTCCAGAGCCATAACTTAGGCTGAATGAATAGGACTTAAGGGTAGGGCAGAGGCAACAGGACAGTAAGGAGACTGCCATGAAACTCAGGTCTGGCCAGGGGAGTAGGTGGACAGTTAGGCTGTCTCTCCTGGGAGGAGGCTCAGGTGTGTACGAGGGAGGTGGGGGCTGAGGAGGGCTGTTTTGCACACAGATCAAAAGGTCTTAGTGAGACCATCCAGGAGGCAGGAGAGTGGGCTGGGTGCTCACTTCTGACTGGAGCTGAGGGACTAGAACCTCTCACGGAAGAGATGGCAGGTGGGATAAACAGAGAACTAGGACAGACACGGAGAGCCCTGAGGACCAGGGCCCCCAGTAAAGAGCAGGCAGTGAAAAGTGAGCCCTGGAGGGTCCTAAGGAGTAGCTGGAGAGGGAAGAAGCTGACCAGGAAAGGAGGATACAAGCAAATGAAATGTTAGGCGAGAGGGAGGGGTCTGTGTCAGGTGAGAACCCAGATGTTATCCTCAGGCCTGAGGAATGAGCAGGTGGGTCCCCTGTGACCTTGTACAGGGCTGCTGCAGGGCCATGGGAGGTGGGCAGCCAGTTGTGGAGGGTTGAAGAGGGAGTTGGTGGTAAGGGATTGAGCTGGTGGGTACAAGTCTTTAGCTGTAAAAGGGATGAAAGCTAACCCTGACCAGATTGGCTCAACGGTTGTGTTGGTCAGCAGATGGAAAGATCATGGGTTGGGTTTGATTCCTGGTAAAGGGCATGTACGTGGGCTGCAGGTTCCATCCCCTGCCCCAGTCCGGGTTGTATAGGAGGCAACCAATCGATGTGTCTCTCTCACATCAATGTTCTCTCTCTCTCTCTCTCTCTCTCTCTCTCTCCCTCACCTTCCCTTTTTTCCACTCTATATAAAAATCAATGGGCCCTGGCCGGTTTGGCTCAGCGGTTAGAGCGTCAGCCTGCGGTCCGGAGAGACCTGGGTTCGGTTCCCGCTAAGGGCACGTACTTCGGTTGCAGTTTGTCCCCGGCCCTGGTTGGTTGTGCGGGTGGCAGCCACTCGATGTGTCCCTTTCACGTCGATGTTTCTCTCTCTCTCTCTCTCTCTCCCTCCCACTCTATCTGTACAAAAAAAAAAAAAATCAGTAAAGGAAAAAAAAAAAAAAAAAAAATCAATGGGAAGCCCGGCCAGGGTGGCTCAGCGGTTGAGCATCAACCGATGCACCAAGAGGTCACCGATTCTATTCCCAGTCAGGGCACAAGCCCAGGTTGTGGGCCCAATCCCCAGTGAGGGGCGTGCAGAAAGCACCAATCGATGTTCTCTCTCATCAATGTTTCTATCTCTCCTTCTCCCTCTCTCGCTCTAATATCAATAAAGAAAAAAAATTTTTTTAATCAATGGAAAAATATCCTCAGGTAAGGATTTTAAAAAAAGAGATGAAAGCTAATTCAAGGGAGTTTGATGCAGGGTGTGTGTGTGTGTATGGAGGAGTGTAATTAGAGATAATGGAATATATTTTAATGCTGCCAGGGAAGGGAGAGACAGAAGATGCAGAAACACAAGAAAGCACAGTTTCCTGACGAGATGGGGAGAGGAGGACCCTCACATCAGAGTCCCTCATTCACCCAACAAGTGATTTCTGAGTCAGACCCCGTGATGGGTGAGGGAGCCATAGCCCAGAACTCTCCCTGAAGGTCCAGGCCTATTGGCCTAGGTCACAGTTGCCCTTGCCCTACCTCTTGTTCATCTCTGCCCAAAGAGTCATCACCACCAACCTGCTCTTCTGTCCTGTCCCCACCCCAGGGATGGCTTCATCATCCCCCAGGCCCCCAGGCCAGAGGACTGGGTCTTGCCCTGGACATCCCCTGACCCCCACAGCCCATCAAGCCCTATATTCTGTTCTTTCTGCCTCCTGCTTTGTCACTTCAGCCTCTGGCCTAATCCAGGCTCCATCCTCTCCTGCCTGGGTCCCTGCCCAATCCACCTTCTGGGAAACTGGTTTCCAGTCTTATTCCTCCGGTTTTGACTCTAGCTGTGACTCAGCCCTCCCATGCTCTACACCAGTGGTTCTCAACCTTCCTGAGGCGGCAGCCCTTTAATACAGTTCCTCATGTTGTATGTGGGCGGATCTGCATGTGGGCGGACCCGCCTGGAGACGGATAGAGGAGCGGAGCAGTGTCTCGGTTCCTAAGACCATCAGAAATATGTTTTCTGACGGTCTTAGGAGACCCCTGTGAAAGGGTAGTTCGACCCCCCAAAGAGGCCGCGACCCACAGGTTGAGAACCACTACTCTACACCCTTCTGTGGCTTCCTAATACCTACCCCTTGCCCCCCAAACAAAGTCTAAGCTCCTCAGCCTGGCCTCTGCCCACCTCTTCATCCTCTTCCAGCCTGACCAGCCTTCTGCCTGAGCACCTACAGACAGTAATATTCTTGCACGCCTCCCTGTCTTTGCTCATGCTGAAATGCCCTTCCCACAGGCTCACCTGCACCCTTGCTTGGTACCTCCTGCTCCTCCAAGATCCAGCTCCAATGGCCCCTCCTCTGGAAACCCTTTCCTGACTGCCAAACCCAAAAAGACTCTTCTGGGCTCCCCTGCCTCTGCACAACCCTGCCCATCAATGTATGAGTCCTCTTATCTGACCCAGGCTTGACTCACCTTGGTCTGCACCATAGCCCAGCACGAGGCCCAGCACACCCGAAGCCTCCGGAACTGTTTAAGTAATGGATGGGTGATGGTGTGAATGAATGAACAAATGTGAGGGCTTATATGAGGAAATGAGTGAGGAAGAGAATTAATGAGAGTAGGAAGGACTGAACGAACCGGTGGGCCGGGCAGGTGAGGTGTAGACGGGATTCAGGTTTAGGGTGGAGGAATGGAGTGGACGGATGAATATGAGACTTGACATCTCGGATTCAGTTTCTCCAACAAAGCAAAATGGGTGGTCGCCTAGCTAAGCTCCCCGCTCCGCCTCAAGCCTCACCAAGCCCACCGTTTCCCGCCTGAGCGGGGTCCAGAATTCCAACACTGCGCGACTGGAAAGGGCTTACCCCGCGGGACCCACAAACTCTGTTCCCTCACCACCCAGCTCCAGCTTCTGCGGAGCCCACGACCGGGACTGGCGTCTTCGAGAGCCTATCGCTCTCCGACTTAGACCGTGGGTCCCGCCTACTAAGGGACGCGCCCTGAGTGGCCCAGGCTAATAGGAGGGGGAGTGTCTATTGGCTGGATGATAGTGATTGACATCACGGGTAGCTTATCACAGCTAAACTCCGGAGGCAACTCCTGTGTCAGATCCGCCTCTGGAAAAAACAGAAGCCGAGAGATAGTTGTGAGCGTGTTCGATTGCAGTAGAGTCGTCTGTGGGGTTTCTGGCTGCACGTACCTGGGCTGTTTGCTGGCCTGACTCTGGGTCCTAAGGAAGGATGGGGACTTGAGAGTCCTGACTCCTTGGTCCTGAGGAGGAGGCCGGGAGGAGTAACTAGGAGCCTAGACTTCTGGGTCAGGGAGAGGAGGAGGAGGAGGGTGAGAGCTTGGACCCCTGGATCTTGAGGGGGGAGGGAACTAGAAACCTGAAAGGTTGGAGTCTAGGGACGGGGAGTCACCGGCCTGCCCATGGATGACAGATTTGAAATTCGGTATTTTATGTGGCTATTTGTGGGATGAGCCAGGCCTTGTCCCCAGGCAAGAGTTCTGGGTTCTGAGGTGGGGCTAGACTAGAGATGTCCAGGAAGAAGCTTAGGAGAGGCTCTGGCCTCAATATGTCCTTTCCTTGTTCCCAAAAGGGAAGCCAGGGGCAGAGTGATGTCTGCAAAAGGAACCCAGAGTGAGAGGAGACTTGAAACTCACCTGGAGACAAAGAGAAAAGCATAGATATCAACGGAGAGATTAAAATATTGAAAATAATAATAGAGCTCTCTCGTATGGAGTTTATTGTGGCCCGGGTTCTGTGCTAACCATGTTACATAATTATCTCATGTCTTCCTCATAACAGCTCTAAGAGATTGGGTTATTATTATAATCCCCGTTTTACAAGTGAGAAAATTGACACCCAGGAAGAGAGAATCAAGATGTAAAAAGACAGGAGAGATACAAAACACAGATGGTGGTAAACAAAGAGATAAAGACACACCCAGGAGAAAAGTAAAGATAGGGGGGAAAAGGAGAGGGGCTGAGAGCCCGGACACTGGGAGTATGAGGGGGACAGGTCTCCTGGGTTCTGGGGAAGAGAAGTTCAAGAATGGGGACTCTTGGGTATTTCCTGCCCTGACTCCCACATACCATGCTGTCTAGCCCTTCTTGCTGTGGGTGTTTGGCCTGGTTGGGGTAAAAAATAATGATTAGAAAGAACAGATATGTCATTACCTTATGAGGAGATGATAAGAAAATGATTCACGGGGGTGCCCTGGGCCTAGGAGGAGCATTTTCCCCACAGTCTCTTTGATCTGGACACATCAGACCTCACAAAGGACCCAGAAGGCCCTGCCCCTCTCTGTCCCTCTCCATCGCTTAGTCTCCATTACTCAGAATGGTCGCCAAGCCCCTCATAGAGACAGATGGACCATCCTGGGGCAGCAACAACTCTACTGGTGGGTCTTCACTCTTTGGGTCTCTCTACTTTCCCCCAGACCTTGAACCAGTGTCCATAAGGGGTCCTGGCTCATTGCAGGGGCTCAGCCAATGCTAATGGAGTAGATGGACAAACATCCATGTCATTCTGTGCAGCTCTTCCTCTGTCCCCATCCTGCCATCTTCCCTGCCCCTGTCATGTTTGGTTTCTCAGCCTCTCCCTGGTCTCCCCATCTCCTTCCCACCCTCCCTTTCACCTGATGTTTCTCCCAAAGTCATTGGGCCCACCATTCCCATTAGGGAGAAACTGAGGCTCACTTTGGAAGGTGTCAGCCTCCCAGGGCCACCTGTAGGACCTGTCAAGGAGTAGCTAAAAAAGGGATCCTCAAGGCCCCAGACACAGACACATTCCCAGCACCTCCGAAGACAGAAATGCAAGAACACACCAAGCACGTGCCCTTACAACACGTGCTCAAGGTGATCTTGCATGTACGCCCACACAATCAGAGAATTACACACAGCACACGCAATCACCTACAAACACAAACGTAGGCATACAATCACAGAATCACTGCACTGACAACACATCCAGAAATATCCTGTTCCACATGCAAAACAGCCCCGCCGGCGTGGCTCAGTGGTTGAGCGTCGACTCATGCACCAAGAGGTCGCCAGTTCAATTCTCCATCAGGGCACATGCCCGGGTTGTGGGCCAAATCCCCAGTGGGAGGCAGTCAGGAGGTGGCCAGTCGATGTTCTCTCTCATCGATGTTTCTATCTCTCTCTCCCTCTCCCTCCCTCTCTCTCTAAAAATCAATAAAGAAAAAACAAAACATATACCCCCATTATGCAGTTGTTTGCCCAGCCACTGATAGGCAGTCAGCCAATCCCTATTAGGACCATGAGCAGAGACTTGGTTTCATTTACTCTTGTATCCCCAGAGATGTCATCATCATGAACACAAAATGTTTCCTTTGTGCCAGGCACAAGTCTAGGCACTTTACATGAATTATCTCATTTTATCCTCTCAACAACTCTATTCTTGACAACTCATTCTACAGATGGAAAAATTGAGATCCCGAGAAGTTTAGTTATTTACCCAACGTTTCATAGCCAGTAAGAGGCCATCAGGATGTAAACTTGGGTTTTTTAGTCCATCACATAAGGCTACCACACCATAAATAATTCCTGCCTTAATCCAGTCAGAACTACAGAACCTTGACAGCTTAGACCACACCCAAACGCAGGCGCACAGTGGGTAGAAGATTCACGGGAGGCCAATTGAGACACACAAGTAGGAAAGTCCCCTTCACTTGTCACACCCCAGAACACAGGGACACGCAAAGTGACACACTCTGAGACAATCCCCACACAGTCATACAGCACCCAGGGAGGCACACACCACGCAGACACACAACACACCAAAACCTAGACACGGGGACCCACCCAGAGCTCCCTCTTCCGCTTCCAACCCCACTGGGCTGGCCCTCGAGGAAGCAGCAGGTTTAGGATGGAAAGAGGGGCCACCTTGCTTGTCCGCTCAGCCTGACCGGTTCCACCAGGGCCATTGGTGGCACCACCCGCCTTATGAAACCCATGTTGGGCAACTGGACCCAGACCTGGCCTGGACTCCTAGATTCTAGGGAGAAAGGGGCTGAGAGCCTGGATTCCTGGATTCTGAGGGAAGAGGGGATGGGTGCCCATTCATGGATTCTAGGGGAGGAGATGAGGGGGATTAGGACCTGAACTCTCAGGTCTTGAGGAGAGAGCATCAGGGGCCCGGGATCCTGGATTCTGGGAAAAGAAGAGTCCAGGTACTAGGATTGCTCTGTAGGGCATTTCTCTTCACCTTTCTGAGCCTCAGTGTTCCATCTGCGAAAGGGGCTTGTGCCGAAGTCCACGTGCTGGGCACGGCCCCTGTCTAGGGTTCCAGATTTAGCAAATAAAAATACAGGATGCCCAGTTAAATTTGCAAAAGGCAAAAGATGTATGCATCCTGAAGAGAAACCAGAGTATTAGAGGCCCAATGAAATTTGAATTTCATATTAACAACAAATGTTTTTTTAGTATGTGCACATCGCAAATATTTCATGGGACATACTTATTCTAAAAAAAAGTATTTGTTGTTTATCTGAAATTCAAATTTAACTGGGCGTCCAGTATTTTATCTGGCAACCGTATTTGAGGGGGCGGAGGCCAGATGCCTGGAGACTCTGCCCTGGTCACTCCTCAGCCCCTAGGCCTCTCCTCTCCTCCCCACCCCCCACCCTAAGCAGGCCACCTCACAGCTTCCCCAGTCCCGATTTCCTCACCTACATGACTTGCTGTGTCTAATTGCTGCCCCCAGGCTGTGGAAGAGTGGGGAGAGGAAACTGGAGGACAGCTCCAGCTGTCATACTTGGAAGCCCCAGGGTCCTCAGAGGTGACTGATGCTGAGTCACCTGCACCCCATGGTCTGGACCGTAGGGGATGGGGCCCCTGTGGCTGCCTCCAAGGAGCAGTCCTGGAGGTTGGAAGGAGAGAGACTCAGAGATGGGGAGACAGAGAACTAGAGAAATCTGGAAACATTGGCAGAGAATAGAAAAGAAAGAGGTGGCTGCCAGGGTGGCTCAGTGGATTGCGCGTCATCCTGTGCACCAAGAGGTCGCCAGTTTGATTCCTGGTCAGGGCACATGCCCAGGTTGTGGGCACGATCCCCAGTGGGGGGTGTGCAGGAGGTGGCCAATCTGTGTTCTCTCAGCAATGTTTCTATCTCTCTCTTCCTCTCTCTCTCTCAAATCAATAAAGAAAAATATTAATAAAAAAAAGAAAGAGATTCAGAGCTGGAGACAAAGATGCAGATTGAGGGGACAGGGACACTAGAATAGAAGTGGAGATAAGATGTTCCACAGACATTCAGGTTCTCAGACTGAGTGATGGACACACACAGGCAAGAAGCCGAGTGCGGCCCACGAGTCTGGGACGAGGACAGCCAGCCATCTGGGGGCTCCGGGAGGCCAAGGCTTGGGACCCGATATGTTGAACCAGAGGGTTGGGGGAAAGCTGAGGTCAAAGGCGAACAGGGTGATCTACCTGCCATCACCCCATACCCAGTGGAGTGACAACACCACCTTCTCCATAGGTGACACCCCAATTTTCCAGTGCCTCCTACATTTTTGGGGTGACACCCGTACTGGGAACCCCACCCGGCTCTAATGCTGCTTCCCTCACTGAGTCACCTCCAACCCCGCCAGGCCTGCTGTGGGGAGACATTGGGGACTCAGGCATCAGGCCCCCAGCTCTTTCACCCCTCAGGAACCCAGCAAGTGGGGAGTCCCAGGACCCCTGGCCAATTCAGGGACGCAGCCTGACCTAACCCAAGAATCTGCACCCCACCCCTCCTCCCTCAGATCCAGAAATCTGAAGCCCTCTCTCCCTCCTTTATCAGGGATCAGAGACCAGGCCCCCAGCCACCCCCACCCCCCATCAGCCCCAGGAGTCCGGGTCCCAAGTCCTCTGCTCAGTTAGGACCCAGGAGGCCTGGGCCACAGCCAACTCCTTGGGGAGCCAGGCTTCTCAGTTCCCAGCCTCCTCCCTCCCCCAATGTAGAGGTGGGGTGAAGTATATTTATTTACTTTGGTTCCAGCAGGAATCACAGCCAAAACACACCCCCCCCACGTGCCTCAGGGTCCTGAATGGGGGGACAATGCCCCCTCGCTCAGGGAAGTGGGGACCTCACTAGGATGATGGGAGAGGCCCTGAAAGGGAGCTCACGCTGTGCTGTCCCCTGCACTGCCGGCCTTCCCGCTGTCCCCCTCCCCTTCCTCCAAGTCCTAGTAGCCATTGCCTCCACCCACCTGCCCCTCACCTTCCCAGCTCTGTTCTCTGAATCTGTCTCCCCCTTCTTGTTACTGCTCCCCGATCTTTGTGCCTCTCTGCCTAGGCGTCTATTTCTCCATCCCTCTATGTCTTCTCATCTCCCTCCATCTCTCTGAATCTATCTTCTCTCTTTCTCTGACCGCGACCTCCCCTTAGGTCTCTGTGTCCCCCATCCCTTCCCCACCTCTCAGTCTCTCCCTCTCTTTAGGTCCCTGTGCTTTGACCCAGCTGTGCCCCTCGCACCTCCGCTCAACCTTCCCTTCCCAGCACGTGGCCCGCTCCAGACTCCTTATCCCTGGACCCCCTCCCCCACAATTTCCAGGTCATCTGAGTTACAGGAGGAGGGGGAAGTGGGGAAAAGGGGGAGGGGAAGTTCCAGGGCTGAAGGAAGAGGTTCCGCCTGACCGGCTTGGCTCCCTGGGCACCTCTGTCAGAGCCCCGCCCAGGCCCCTGTGGCCCGCCCCAATATAAGCAGCTCCCTGCCTGAGATTGAGAAGTCAGTGCCTGTCACTCACACCTCTGTCTCCATCATTGACGCCGACGTCCGCGGTCCTGCAGGTAGGCGCACCCCGCATAGCCCTCTGCTCTGAGGTCAGGCCTCTGCTCTGTTCTCCCCCACAACCCACGCCACTCACATCTCTGTCTCCTTGCAAGATTTCTGACTCTCTCTCTGGACATCCCTACCTTTCTCCATGCTCCCTTTGCCCCTTTCTCAACCTGAGTATTGTTGGGGTGAATGTGGAAGTCCTGAGGCCTAGTACCCCCTCTACTAAGCCCCTCGGCCTGGGCCATCGGATGTGGGGCATTTGTCTTCACCTCTCTGAGCCTCAGTGTTCTGTCTGTGAAAGGGGCTTGTGGAGAAGTCAAAGTGCTGGGCAGGCATGAGCATTACTGGTGGCATCTCTTCGGGCATCTGGCTCTGATCGCTTCCTCCCCTTGTCTACAACATCCTGTCTCTGTCTCCTGGGTTTTCTCTCCAGCTCTGCCTCTGGAATGAGGAGGGTTCTCTAGGGTCTGTCGGGCAGCTGTACAGAGACGGGCGAGTTTCTCGCCCTCCCCCCCATCCGTATTCCATGTCTCTTCTAGCCAGCAGGCTGACGTGGCCTCTTTCTCCCCAGCATCTATCCCCTGAGAACCCAGCCCCTAGTGCTCCTGCCCCTTGCCCTCCCCTCCCTCAGTATCCAGCGTCCCTTGGACAGACTCCGCTGCTGTCACCACCGCCACCTCTGCCGTCCCCAACGCTGCCTCCTCAAGGCCAGCAAGATGCAGTTTGAGATGCACGACAACGTGAAAGGCAAAGGTGGGATCACTGGATGGACCGGCAACCCTTCCAGTCCCTGGAACCTGACCGCTTCCCTCCCCTGGGCACCCTGGCTTCGAAGACAGACGGCGCCTGCTTGTACCCCAGAGGCCCCTGAAATGCGGGAACCCAGCACCCCAGGCCCAGACGTGGAGAAGGCAGCAGCTGTCTCAGCCCCGCCCACATGTGGCACGCACCCCTTCCCAGACTGCAGGAGCCCCACTCCCAGCTCAACTAGATGTGCAGGAGGCAGTGGCAATGGGGCAGACTGGGGTGTCGATGCCCAAATGTGCCAGGAGGGAAGAAGCGTAGTGGTGTCTCCTCAGTGGGCGGCCTGGTGGCCCCGCCCAGACTGCCCGGCAGAGGGAGGGGTGGCAGCGGTGCGGGGACCCAAGAGGGCTGTGAAACTGCCCGCTGACCCCGTCCCCACCTCTGCAGCCATGTCCTACCCGGTGACCAGCCAGCCCCAGTGCGCCAGCAGCTGCTACCAGACCCAGCTCAGTGACTGGCACACCGGCCTCACGGACTGCTGCAACGACATGCCAGTCTGTGAGTGCCCTCGCTCCCCTGCAGGCCCCAGGGGTGTGGGGGGTCACCCCAAACCCCCTCCGACGCCCTACTAACTCCACTCCCTCTCCCCTCCTTGGACCCTGAATTCCTACCCTCTAACCCTCATGCCTTCCTCGGCCCCCCAAAACTTACCGGGATCCTGACCTCACACCTTTCAGCTTCCCCTCAGACCTTCAACCTCCTCCACCACCTTCGCCCTCCCGCCACCCCCTTCACACCCTGTTTCTCAACCACGAATCCTCCTCCCCGCGCCGCCCCCCCCCCCAGTTCCCTCTGGGACCTTTGCTTCGCTTCCCCCGACACTCAATTTTCCCTCTGGGACCCTCAACTTGGCCCCGGGGCCCTCGGCCGCGCCCTGACCGCCCCGCCCGCCCCAGGTCTGTGCGGCACCTTCGCGCCCCTGTGCCTCGCCTGCCGCATCTCCGACGACTTCGGCGAGTGCTGCTGCGCGCCCTACCTGCCCGGAGGCCTGCACTCCCTGCGCACCGGCATGCGCGAGCGCTACCGCATCCAGGTGCGCGGGCTCGGACCGGGCTGGGGGCCGGGCTCCTGGGACCCCGGCGGAGCGCCTAACCTCTCTCTCCCACCCTCCAGGGCTCTATCGGGCACGACTGGGCGGCCCTCACCTTTTGTTTGCCCTGCACTCTCTGCCAAATGGCGCGGGAACTGAAGATCCGAGAGTAAAGTGTCCCCCCCACCCTCCTTTCCCTCCTCTGCCCGATCTGGGAGGGCCTGCCCCTCCGCCCTATCCTGTCACCAGAAATACACCCACAATAAAAACCTGAAAACCAACTCCGCCTACATCTTTTGTCCCAGAGAAGGAATCTGGGTGGAGAAGGAGGTTTGGTGTGGAAGGTGGGGACACCCGGAAGATGCCTAGGTGTGGAAGGTGTTCTGGAGTCAGACATTTGGCCCCCGCCTGCTGTGGATGACATTGGCAAGTCTCCCTCTCTAGGCCACGGTGTCCTTACTAACAAAGTTACCCCTTAGCCCAGAAAGGCCCTCTTGGTAGAGTCCAGGGACTCAAGAGCCACCTGCTCATTTAATACCAACAGGTTCTTAGCCTACACACAACCCTAACAGGTTAGAGGACCTTTGTTTCCAAAGCAGAGAACCGCCAGGTTTAAGGAAGGAATCTGTGAGTATCACCAGTTCAATCCACTCTTGATCACAAAAGCAACTACAGATTGTAAAATGTTCTATTCTCGAAATTAGACAGACCTGGGATCCAATCTTGACTCTCACCACTTCCTGTGTTCTTTTTTTAAAATTATTTTTAGAGAGGGAGGGAGAGATAGAAACATCGATGAGAGAGAACATCTACTGGACACTTCCTGCACGCCCCCCACTGGGGATTTGGCCCAACACCTGGGCATGTGCCCTGACCCGGGAATCAAACTGGTGACCTCTTGGTGCATGGGTTGACACTCAACCACTGAGCCACACCAGCCGGGCTTACTGTGTTATCTTAACGAATTAATAAACCTTTCTGAACTCATTTTTTCTCTGAGGATAATCCCTAGTAAGTATGTCATATGGCTACTGGAGAGCAAGAGATGGAACAGATGGAAAGGCCAAAGAGTAAACTTAATAAACTGTTGTTATTATTTTATGTATTGTATAACATTATAACTATTCTGATATTAATATATTATTTGTTATTGTTCTCTGTGGATCTGACCATTTGAGTGACATCTTCATTTAAAATATCCAATAGGCATCTCAAATTTAACATGTCCAAAATTTAACTCGATTTCCCTCCCAATCCGGCTCTTCCACAGCAAGCCTCAACCTTCCAGGTGCTCAGTCACTTTCTTTCCTGCCCAGCATCCAATCTGTCAACAAATTCTGTTCTACTTTCTGAATATATCCAGGATTTCACTTCTCCTCACTCCACTGCCCCTTGTTCCAGCCACCTTCCTCTTCAGTCTGCATTAATGCAGTGGCTTCTCAATGGGCTCCCTGCCTCCCCCACCCCCTTTAGTCCCTTCCCCAGAGCCTGTGAACATCTGAGTCAGATCACATCCCTCCTGAGCTCACAACCCTCTCACGTCTCCTCCCACAAGAGGAAAAGCCAGAGTCCTCACTTGGCCCAAGGACCTGTATGATCTGCCTCTTGTTCCCTCTGTAACCTTGTCTCCTCCTTATTTTCTCTACTCCAACTACACATATCTCTTTGTTATTTCTCTAAAATGCTAGGCATAGTTCCACCTCAGGGCCTTTGCATTGCTATTCCCTCAATTTGGAATTCTTTTTTTTTTTTTTTTTATCCTCACCCAAGGACATTTTTCCATTTTTTGTACAGATAGAGTGGGAGGGAGAGAGAGGAAGAGAGAGAGAGAAACATCGATGTGAAAGGGACACATCGAGTGGCTGCCACCCGCATGACCAACCAGGGCCGGGGACAAACTGCAACCGAGGTACATGCCCTTAGCGGGAACCGAACCCGGGTCTCTCCGGACCGCAGGCGGACGCTCTAACCGCTGAGCCAAACCAGCCAGGGCAATTTGGAATTCTTTTCCCTCAGATGTCCTTGTGGCTCACTCCTTCACTTCTGCTCACGTCATCTTATAAGATTCCCTTCCCACCTTACATTAAATAGCAAGTGGAGGCACCCCCTCCTACACTGCCTTGTTTTCCTAGTCATCTTCCAACATACCCCATAATTTACTTATTATTGGGCTCCCCACTGGCTTATCAGCTCCATGAGGGCAGGAACTGTTCATTTGTGTTCCCAGCACCTAGGACAGTATACGACCCATTATAGGTGGAGATAAGTGATCACAGGTGGTGGGTGGGGACAACACTGGTTTAGCAAAAGGGAGTGATTTTATTTATTTTTTCTCCTCACCCAAGGACATTTTTGCATTTATCTTCAGATAGAGTGGGAGGGAGAGAGGGAGGAAGAGAGAGACACACATCTACTGGTTGCCACCCACACAACCCCAACAGGGGCCAGGGACAAACTGCAATCTAGGTATGTGCCCTTAGCAGGAACCGAACCTGGGACTCTCTGGTCCGCAGGCCTAAGCTCTGTTGAGCCAAACCGGCCAGGGCAAAAGGGAGCAATTTTAGAGGTAATGGGGAGCAGTGGTGGAAACTCAGGCTGATGTCAGGATCTGGGTTCGCCTATGAATTAGCCCCGAGGTCTTAGGCAAGGGACTTAGCTTCTGCTCCCACAAAATAAGGGAATGAGCTTGTATCTCCCAGCAGGGATGCTGGGAAGACTAAGACTCATGCCAAGCACCAGGCGTGGTGCCTGGAGTGCCCTTGGGAACATTTCCGCCCTTTTCCTGAGCACTGCCAATCCTTAGGCCGTTGGTGGCGGCACGTGGGCTAGAATTCAGGCCCCAAGCCGTCCACACCCAGGCCTTCTCTCTCACTCCATGAGACTCTTGCCTTCAGGTGTGTGGACACCAGGGAGAGGTGACAGCTGAGGGGCCAACATGGAGGGAGGGCATTTGTACACGGATATCTGCAGGACAGGGACAAGAGTTGGAGCAAGGGTGGCTCTGCATCCCAGAGAAAAGGTCCAGTCACAGTGCAAATGCTCTCCTTAGGGAGGCAAAATCACCTAAGACGGCTAGGCAGAGGCCTTGCCCAAGGGTTCTAGGCAGAGCCTTTTGCACCAATGGTTAGGCAGAGGCCTTGCCCAAGGGTTCTAGGCAGAGACCTTGCCCAAGGGTTCTAGGCAGAGGCCTTGCCCAAGGGTTCTAGGCAGAGGCCTTGCCCAAGGTTCTAGGCAGAGGCCTTGCCCAAGGGTTCTAGGCAGAGGCCTTGCCCAAGGGTTCTAGGCAGAGACCTTGCCCAAGGGTTCTAGGCAGAGACCTTGCCCAAGGGTTCTAGGCAGAGACCTTGCCCAAGGTTCTAGGCAGAGGCCTTGCCCAAGGTTCTAGGCAGAGGCCTTGCCCAAGGTTCTAGGCAGAGGCCTTGCCCAAGGGCTCAAGCACAACATGGAGGAGCCTGGAAGAACCACCTTAGCGTCCTCCTGGTCATGCGGGACGCCCTCTCCACTGGCCTTGGGACTCAGGCAGCACACCTTGCTGTGGTTAGGTCCCCAGATGGGAAGTTCTGCCTTCTCACCAGCAGAAAGTGGTTTTGAACAGCCTGCCCCTAGAGCCTGCTCTCAGCCAAGTCAACCTGTGGCTTCCTCTTCGGGAGGCAGAAGAGCCGACGGTCCAGGCCGGGCGGCTCGGTTGGTCTCTGTACCAGACGGCGACAGGCTCGATTCCTGGTCAGGTCACGTATCCAGGTTGCGGGTTTGATCCCCATTTGGAGCACATACAGAAAGCAACTAACTGATGTTTCTCTCTCCCTTCCTCCCTCTGGAATCAACTAAAATACATACACACGCCCGGCCAGTGTGGCTCAGTGGATTGAGTGTTGTCCCATGGACTGAGAGGTCCTGGTTCTAATCCCGGTCAGGGCACATGCCCAGTTTGTGGGTTCAATCCCCAGTAGGGGGTGTGCAGGAGGCAGCCAATTGCTGTTTCTCTCTCACATCAATGTTTCTCTCTCTCTCTCACTTCCTCTCTTTCTAAAAAAAAATCAATAAAAAAACCATTCAGCCCTGGCTGGTTTGGCTCAGCAGTTAGAGCATCAGACTGCGGACTGGAGTCCAGGGTTCCCGCTAAGGGCACGTACCTCGGTTGAGGTTCTTCCCCCACCCAGGTTGGGGTTGTGCGGGTGGCAACCAGTCGATATGTCTTTCTCATGTCAATGTTTTTCTCTCCCTCCCGGTCTATCTAGAGATAAATGCAAAAATGTCCTCGGGTGAGGGTAAAAAAAAAAAACATTAAAAATATACATGTAACATACACACACACACAGAGCCTGGTGGTCGGGCACCTGGATTTGAGAGTCAGGTCTGGTTTCAGATGACAGCTATCACTCAACAGCTAAATGTCTTCTCATTTGCAAAAAGGGGATACATGGTACCCAACTCACACAGCTGTTCGAAAGATGAAATGAAACCACAGCAGTCACAAGCCAAGCAAACTGTCTGGCATTGGCACTCAGTACATACAAGTTCACAGCGCATCCTGGGAGGTTAGGTACTACCGTCAGCTCGTGAAGGCAACTCATGAATGGGCAAAGAAATCCCTGAAAATCCCATAAACGGCCAAGAAAGCCTGAAAATACTGATATTCACAGACCACACTAGAGACCCACACGGCTCCCACATCACCTCGTCCTCGGGGCCTCTAGGCTGGGTTGCACAGGAAGGTATAACTAACACTCCCGGCGAGACTCCTGGGGAGGCCGCGGAGGGGCCAGCGATGATCGCCTGCTCCCACCCCCCCTCGCCTCAGTGCTCTCGTCTGCCAGGGGCCAGCGATGATCGCCTGCTCCCACCCCCCCTCGCCTCAGTGCTCTCGTCTGCCAGGGGCCAGCGATGATCGCCTGCTCCCACCCCCCCTCGCCTCAGCGCTCTCGTCTGCCAGGGGACTGGCAGATAAAGGCTCCAGAACGCTTTAGGCTTGGCTGAGTCTACGTGAATAGGAGAAAGCTCGCCATACTAGGGTCTCCTTTTAGACTCCATGCCCAAATTCTCCTCTATGTCGGGGGCCAGAATCACACCTGGTCCTGGGACCAAGGCAAGTCTGTTTTCCCTCCTGAAACAAACTGAGGTCTCCCCGTGACAGAGGTCGGGGAAGTGCCAAGGTCTCATTGCCCTCATGTCCCCTC